TAATAATACCCCTTCTTTTAAACAGTGGGTTATTGATGTGTTGCATTTCATTAGTTTTGAAAAAAATAGGACTTAATTTAAATGGTTCAATGTCCAAGTTCACTTCCATGTGGCGTCCATTCATAAATTACTTTCAAAGCCAAATATAATTGTAAATGGACAAAATGATGCTGATGTTGTTTTCATTTATTTTTTTATTTTTTGGTCTTTGTTGTTTATATGTAAACAATGTTAAAGCTGTTGTGTTGTTAGTTATGTTGATCAATGAATGTATGTATGTTTTTTTGACTATTTAAATAAATAAAAAAGTAAAAAATAAATGCATTAGTGCATGACAGCATTTGCTATAATTTAATGATAATAATACAAATAAATAAATTTAATATGTATTTAAAAAACGAATTTCTAAAAAGCATCTTAGAAATATATAATACACACAAAAAGACATATCATACTTATAATATAATTCATATAAAACATATCCATATGTTTAGGTACAAAAATTACTCACAAGGGAAATACATGTTTGTTAGTCTGTTAGTCTTCACTAAGATACGGTTGAAGTCAGAATTATTCGCCCCCCTTTGTTTTCTTTTAAAAATATTTTCCAAATGATGTTTAACAGAGCAAGGAATTTTTCCACAGTGTGTCCGATAATATTTTTTCTACTGGAGAAAGTCTTATTTGTTTTATTTCGACTAGAAAAAAAGCAGTTTTTAATTTTTTAAAAACATTTTAGGGTCAAAATAATTAGCCTCTTTTAGCTATTTTTTTCTAATAGTCTACAGAACAAACCATCATTATACAATAACTTGCCTAATTACCCTAACCTGCCTAGTTAACCTAATTAACCTAGTTAAGCCTTTAAATGTTGTTTTAAGCTTTATAAAAGTGTCTTGAAAAATATCTAGTCAAATATTATTTACTGTCATCATGGCAAAGATAAAATAAATCAGTTATTAGAGATGAGTTATTATTATGTTTAGAAATGTGTTGAAAAAATCTGCTCTCCTATTATCTATAGCTATAGTCTATATAAAAATAAAGCTTTACTGTTGTTCCAAATATGGTAAGCAGATTTTAGATTGACCCTTAGTAATACTGTTTATTTTTCCAAATAAATAACTCATGAAGGCCTGAAGTTCCTTGCTATGCACAGCATAACTTCTTACAGACAAAGATCAAAGCACAAATGTATTCAGATTCGTCACTGTGGTCAGAGACGTGTGCTAAATGAGACGGAGGTTTTCTAGCTACGCAAATAAAAAATGTCCATTAGCAATTGTTTAGTGAGTCACAGACCTCAGGAAATGGTAACAACAGTGCAAACATTAATGAGGTAGCCTACATTAATAAATGCAACCTCAATATTGTGACCAGTAATATTCAATAGCTGAATATAAAAACACCAACAACAAAATACATACGTACATTTTAATTAGTGCTGGGCAAAATTATTCGCTATTAATTGCATCAAAAATTAAAGTAGTTATCTTTAATATGAATATACACAAATCCATGCATGTATTTGAGAAAATGTTTATTTATATCTAGATATAAATTATATATATATATATATATATTTATATATATATTTGGGCGACACATTGGCTCAGTGGTTAGCACTGTCGCTTCACAGCAAGAAGGTCGCTAGTTCGAGTACCGGCTGGGCCAGTTGGTATTTTTGTGTGGAGTTTGCATGTTCTCCTCATGTTTGTGTGGGTTTCTTGTGGGTGCTCCGGTTTCCCCTACAGTCCAAAGACATGCGCTGTAGGTGAATTGAATAAACAAAATTGGCTGTAGTGTATGTGTGTGAATGAGTGTGTATGGGTGTTTCCCAGTACTGGGTTGCATCTGGAAGGGCATCCGCTTTGTAAAAAAAATGCTGGATTAGTCGGCAGTTAATTCCGCTGTGGCGACCTCTGATGAATAAAGAGACTAAACCGAAGGAAAGCCTTTGCTTCTATGTATGCGTGTGTATCACAAACACATAATAAATAATACACGCACTTATTATGGCAAAACAAACTTTTATTTTGGGTTAATAATTGGCAAAACAAACTTTTATTTTGGGTGCGATTAATTGCAATACATTTTTGCCCATCACTAATTTAAATGTAAGTTTGTTGTTGTTTGGCCATAAAAAAATGACAGATTAAAATTTTATTTAAATGAAATCTCTGTATTTTGGATTTTATTCAGCATTTTAGGTGATTTTGTTATACTAAATAAATTTTATAATGTAAAATTTATACATTATAATAATATATATACTACCTGTTAACAAATTGTTGCATTTTGAAATTTAAATCGTCATCAATCCTGAATGCTTTGAAGCTGGAGCTGCTGCAGACTTTTATTCTGATGATGTATTTCCAACTGAAATGGAATATTGAGTAGGGGGCGGGGTTGTAATTTTGTGCTCCTCCTCTCAGCTTTCACTCACAGCAGACTATTTTATATTTCTGCGTAGAGTGATCGGCGTGACCCACGGAGCATGCCTTGCGCGTTGTTGTGCATTTATAGTTCTGCGTGCTGTTTGTGTAGCTCTGCAATAACACTTTCAAAACGCTACCTGGCAGTAGGTGTTTAGGTTTCTCTGTGTCTTCCGGGTGTCTTTTTAAAAAACTCAGTCATTCGGAGGCGGGATGCGGTGGACGTGCAACAACAGTAATCATAAGGTAAACACAAAAGAAAGTTTCCATCTGGAGCACCTTTATGGGACCCGGCACTCGTAAACAAGTACAGTTTCAGAAAGCAGGTAAGATGAAAACAGAAGCCAAAAAATAGAATCAATGCTTTTAAAAACACTATTGGTTGGGTTTAGGGAAAAAGTGTGTGTGTGGGGGGGGGTGGTCAGTCAATCAGTCAGTCAGTTATTCAGTCAGTCAGTCAGTTATCAGCATGGGCGAATAGCACTCACGGGAGAAATTTAAGATTTGAAAAAGCATACACAGCAGCCTCTGGTGGATCCGCGAAAAACAACGTAACCTCCTGGAACGTATTTAGCACTCTCCAAAAATTTATATAGAGGTACGTTTTCAGAACGAGCCTGGGTTGAAAATACATTATCATGATTCATTCTGAAGAAAAAAAAATAGAGTTTTAAAAACAAAAATGTCTAATGATTTTCATTTTTAAATACATTTTAACCACATCAACACTGCAAATGCATGGGATAATGAAAAAGTCACAATCAGATGTCAAAAAAATAGAGTTTAATGTTCATGTGCTGTATAACAAATTAAATATATTAGTGTTTACAAAACAATATGTGCAGGACTACCGTATGCATATCCTAATGTACTCTCTACTCAGAAGTGATGAGAACAAGTTCTACCGACAACACAGTTTCATCCCACAGTCCAAGATGCATAAGTCTATTATACAAAGCAAGTACAAAGATTAGAGAAAGACTGATGGTTTCTGTGAGTGGTTAAAGACAGCAACAAGCAAGGAACAAAGGTAGGCGTCTAGATATGTCTATATAGGTCATCGGTGCCGATATAAGCAGTGATGTCCAATCAGATTTGAGCTTTTTTTTCTCCTACAGAGCAAATTTTGTTTCACACTGTAAAAAATGTCAGTTTTCCATATTTTGTGATTCATGTTTTTATTTTCCCCAATTTATTCATGCTTTTGACTTGCAATATGGGACTTTTAAAAAGTGACTTTTATTGTCAATTTTATTAGTTTAAAGTGATATATTGTCTGGGTTGGTGTTGTATATTACAATACAAAACTTTGTAATAAATTGCCAGTACATTTTCTGTTATTTTAAAGACTTGTATCATTCATTCATTCATTTTCATCCGCTTTTCCGACCGGTACACAGGGGCAGCAGTCTTAGGAGAGAACCCCAGACTTCCCTCTCCCCAGACACTTCCTCCAGCTCCTCTGGGGGCATCCCGAGGCGTTCCCAGTCCAGCCGAGAGACATAGTCCCTCCAGTGTGTCCTGGGTCTTCCCCGAGGCCTCCTCCCAGTGGGACATGACTGAAACACCTCCATTGGTAGGCTTCCATGCCCAAGCCACCTCAGCTGACTTCTCTTAATGTGGAGGAGCAGTGGCTCTACTCCGATCTCCTGCGGGGTGACAGAGCTCCTCAGCCTATGCATAAGAGTGCGCCCTGCCACCCTGTGAAGGAAACTCATTTCAGCCGCTTGTATCAGAGATCTTGACTTTTCAGTAATGGCCCAAAGCTCATGACCATAGGTCAGAGTAGGACCGTAGATTGACCGGTAAATCGAGAGCTTTGCCTTTTGGCTCAGCTCCTTCTTTACCACAACGGACCGATACATCGACCGCATTACTGCTGCCGCTGCACCAATCCACCTGTTAATCTCACGTTCCATTCTTCTCTCACCTGTGAACAAAACCCAAAGATACTTGAACTCCTCCACCTGTCAATAAAGTAAAGTGACAGAGCAGAGATCAAGGCCCCATAATGCAATTCACAACCATATTAGCCATACCACCCTGCAGCCAAGAGCTGAGCCTGGTCAGTACCTGGATGGGGGACTGCATGGGAAAACTAGGTTGCTGTTGGAAGTGGTGTTAGTGAGGCCAACAGGGCAAGCTCAATCTGTGATCTGTGTCCTAATGCCCCAGTATAGGGAAGGGGACAATATACTGTCAGTGAGCATGCCGTGGACGAAAGTTAGGAATGGGGGTGTGGTGGTGGTGGTGGTAGAGGGGGGGGGGGGGGGGGGGGGGCAGTCGCACACATCGCCACCCTCTCTATTCTTTATCACCTGAGTCACCTCTATAGACGTACCGACCCTGGGTTTAACCCCAGTGTCCTGGCCAAATTCCCTCCATTGGCCCTTACTTATCATGGCCTCCCAACCACCCCCATCCACAGAGTCTCTCCACTCGGCCTATAGCTGGTGTGTGGTGAGCGCACTGGTGTCGTTATCCTGTAGCTGCTGTCGCATCATCCAAGTGGATGCTGCACACTGATGGTGGTGTGGAGAGACCCCCCTCATGATTTTGAAGCACTTTGTTTTACAATACTTTAATAAAAGGAAAACACTAGTAAATCACAAAATATGGAAACTTTTACTGCATTTTTTTTTACAGTTCAGTGCTTTTATAGAGCTTTATAGAACTTGAAGTCTCAGATGTTCATTCAACTTCCCAAATCCCAGTCAAAAATGAAACTACCACCAGGTAAGAACTGTAATGTGGAATGCTTGAAACTAAGGCAAAAAAGTAGATCAACATCACTCAACCCACCACACGCTTTCAAAAAGATGTTTAAAATGGCACTTAAATTAAGATTTTGCATACTCGATATCTCTGAAAGCAATCCTAAAAAAATAAAAGCACACCATATCCCCTCTGAAATACTGAAGTGTATGATCAGGACGTTAAAAATCGGTCTCTGTGTACCGATACGAGAGAGGTATTTGTCATTCGACACAAATACAGATTATATAACAGCTTGACCGGTACATTACAAACACGTAACTGTGGAAAACCTGATTATCTTGTGCCTACTTCACCTCACGGGACACTTACAGAGACTGTGACCGATGGTTTCACGAGTACAAAAACATGTCATCACCATTAAGAAACACAAGAAATGAGCAGTAGGATGCAAATTCCAGAATCAAACACTAGTGCATATCAGTTTCACATACATTTTCACGTTAGCAGAATCTAAGACTATGTTTATACTACGGAACAGAGTAGAAATACTGTACAGTGATTTGTCCCCTGGTCGGGACGTCTAGACACGTTCACTGAGTTAAGTGACAACAGCTACCCGGTATTGCTCTACGACTAAATATTCAGAATACACAAAAACGTTGCATGATTATGATGGCGACTGGAATGTTTTCAAGTCCAGTCAGTTGCCAATGTTTTTTTTAACTATTTACATGACTATTGTTCAGGAGGGGAGACATGCTTGTCTGTATTATCTTTTTTAGATGTTCATACATAAATATATATTAATTGTGCTTAGTATCGAATAAATCAGGCATTACTATTCATTCAAGGAAGCCAAACATCTGGCTAAAAGATTTCAGTGTTTTAACAACAACAACAACATGTACCGCAGTTTTTCCTGGGTTTCGTTCGACTGTAGCACCATAGTAGAGACTTTTTCTATTCAGATTCTGCCATCAGAAACTCTTGACAGAGGAAAATTCCCTTAAAGACCCCAATGAAATCAGAATTAGAGTTTTTAGTAAGATTTGAGGTCATCTTTATGCTAGTGTGCTGATAAATGATAACAATTTGTTTTAACAAGGTGCAAAAATATGTGATTTTTAACATCCAGATTACTTGAATAAGCAAAATTATGAAAAAAATTATAATGGTGTAATGTTTGGGTTGACGTTGTTGGGGACTGCAGGAAAATAAAGAGCATATAAACATTACGTTTAATTAAAAAAAATATCAAATTAATTTTAAAATCTTAAAAAGATTTCTTTGAGAGCCACATTCTATATAGAGTTGACCAATTTGGCAAAACGTAACCATCAAATAATTATTTTATTAAATGCTTAAAATGCATTTTTTCTTTACAGTACAAGTGTAAATTTACAATACCCATATTTACATCATTATTGAATGTTCCAATGTAAACATTCAAGCTTTCATTTTGCCATTTTTGGTGGTTAATAAATATATTTGCGACTGTTTATTGTTTACTTCATTCTAAAATATGCAGCATATATATTAATGTAAATCTGCCTTTACAATTTAATTATTGCAATAATCACCATACTGCAATTGCTCAATTTCGCTATATCATGTAGCTCTAATCTCAGTATCCTTCAGATTTCTGTCCAATCAAATGCTCTCTAGAATGATGACATCACTCCTGCTAATAAAAAGAGCTGCCAAGACAATCTCTTGGTAATTCGTAACATTTTGATTTAGTGACTAATTCATATCAATTCATCCAATCTCATTTTTACAATTTAGTATGATTTTCCCCAATGACCATTGGGTTTAGAGACGGGGTTGGGTGCCACGCCTCCTTTTACAATGGGCTATATGCAGTGCGTGAGGGTTGGTTGTCGCGAACAAAAGTGAAGATATTTGGGGAGTTGCGAAACTAAGTGAAAGTGAACAGCGGACGGGGAAGGACAGGTGATTAGGGGAATCAGTAAAATGAGGAGCCGGATCAGATTTTAGAGGTGCCGATCCGGCGTGTTCTGGCACAAATTAAGCCCTGGCTATATGTACATGGACTTTTAATTTTTAGTCAGGCAGCCCAAGGGCTTCCGGTGAACTGTCTTTCTTTTACAAAATTGTCATGTTTAAGATCTGATTTTTAAAAAAATATCAGCAATCTTCACTGCCTGTTAGATATACAATATAACCCCAGTAATTTCTGCGCTAGCCTATTGCTAGACGGCGTTAGTGGTTATAACGGTCTTTCATCTCGTTTTACGCTTGAACAACTAAATGTACGCTTAAGTCTATTTAACTGAATGTATTGTAATTACATTACAACATCCATGTTGTAAAAACAACCTTGTGAAAGTGAAAATAGTCACATTAAGCTTTCAAGTTATCAAGGAAATAATCAGAGCTTTAAAACTCTAACTGTGCATCGAGCCCATTGTACACTTTCGTACGACTCAACTCGTCCAAATTCGTATAAATTAGACACTAAACTGGCAACATGAAAATAGTTACGTTTTCTCGTGAGATTAGGCTGCATCTGCTGTCGACCAGCAACTAGCACTGTTCATGTTAATTTCTTTAATAAAAAAAGGGACAAACCCCTTGATATGCTCAACAAAGGTCCTTTTGAAACAGGAAATGGCCAATACAGGAAATGATTTCATAGGGTCTTTAAAGAAAAATGCAATCACTTGGGCTGCGTCCGAAATCGCCTATTTACTACATTTGAATTTGAATTCAGTACACAACCATTAGAACATTCTATATTGTAGGAATGCAAGTAGTATGAATGGAACTCGGACATACTATATCCACTTCAGTACTACTGCATTGGTTATTGTCACATGACCTATTCACATCAGTTCCGTCGCGTCATCCTTCATCTCACACGGCATCATGGGATATCGTAGCGTCCATTGGATGCACACTTCAGAATCTCGCCAGATGTTATAGGTCAATATAGGTCAATTTTTTCAATGGATTTACTACATTTTTTTAAGGAAAGTAGATGCAAACTATTTATATAAGCTGTATTTAAATAAACAAATTCTATTTAATGATGTCCAACTTAATTATTTTGCTGAAATTCAGCCCTTATAAATTGTTTGCAACCACATACCTTAAAATAATTCAATGAACCTTTTTTTTTATTTCCAGTGTACTCGCCCTACTGATTATCGAATACTATAAATTCAGACACGCTACTTGGCTCGCATACTGTTTTTAACGTACTATATAGTATTGAAGTATGTGATTTCAGACGCAGCCAACGAAAACATCGGCATCTCGACAAACTTTAAAAACACTGCGCCCCTCCATCTCAGTGAAGTTTTACATGCATTCATATATACACACGCGCACACACACACACGAAACACATACAGTATTTAAATAACATTTAACCGACATTTTCTACGTATGTACAAATAGTGGACTCATGGCCCACCTGTGAAGAGGTTAAAAACGAGTAATGAGTGATGACTTAAACTAGTGAGCACTGAGCACAGTCGGCGCAGACAGCACAAACAATGTGGATCTACTCAGGAGAATGCAAATAAGGGCTCTAGGTGCTTTGGCAAAAAACAAAAAATGGCGAGAAAGTAAAATAAACTCTATTTTGAGGCAACATTGGTTGTTAAGGCTCTACTGTAGTTGTGCTTGTTTTAGTATTGACTGACAGACGACATGTACTGTTGTAGGTCTGAAGGGAAAGCGTTCGGGGGCTGCTATCTGGAGTCCTCCGGCTCCGATTTGATGGTCTTCTTCTCAGAGAGGTTGAGGGCGCGCGATGATGCGTCTCCGCCGTTTTCTGGAGAGAAAAGTGAAGAGAAAGGGTTTGATTGTTGAAACTCTTTATGTCGATTGTGAGGAATTGCTGGTAAGTTTTGCTTTAGATGCACAACACTCGGAGGTAAAAGCAGCGGCTAAGTGCTTATAAATAATAAATATAATGTGGATCATTTACTCTCACTTTCAAAATATTAACCTCGTGATGTTGCATATCCAGTGGCGTAGCGGACGGGCCCGCAGGGCACGCACCGCGGGGGGGCCCCGCGTGATTAGGGGGCCCCACGTCGTCGCGATTTTTAATAATTGAAAATCCAGGAACCGCAATAATCAAACTCTTGGGAACAACTGTGGTCGGAACCAAAGTTTACAGGTCTGTGTTCTCTGAACTCCGCTCAGGCGGTGGACTACTTCATTCTGATTGCTTGCCGCCGAACCGCGTCATAGCCAATGAAGACGCGCCGCTGTTTCTCGCCGCCGGTTCTCGTTAAAAAATGAATGACTTCTGGCTACTTTGACGCTCTCGCCACTTTCGGTTTGTGATCGATCGCTCCTCAGTTTGAAGGATTCCCCGCGTTGTCACGCCACTCCGCCTCCTTTCCCCGCTCCTCAATTTGTGACATAGATATATACACTAGATATCGCATAGGGACCCTGAGCATGCGTCTATAGCGCCGCCACATTGGTAGTCACTTACTGCATTCACCATAAGGCAAAGTAGCACCAACTCGCACTAAACACTCGGTTTATGCTAGGTTTGTTGAATAAATCAGCAAACAATGCAAAAGAAATATGACAAAGAGATGTTGTGGTGCCAGAAACTTGTATTATTGTCGGCTAGTGAACGAGTCGTTCATAACGGAGATTCATTCACAAACGAATCGCTCCCTCCATCAGTATGAAAAGTGAAAGCAGGAGAGGAGGTGTATTTCAGCACATAATTAGATCAAATTTAACAGGGAGAGTGAATAGTACATTTACATACACACAAACACAAGCTTTTTGTCAGGAATGCCCGTGCGATAAGTGATCCATCAATGTAGAAAAGTGATGTCAAATAAAAATGTTAATCATTAAAAAAAATGCATACTAACATCCAGGAAAACTCCCGATCATAGACATATGTGTATATGTGTATATCTATGTGTATATCCCTGCCCCCCCCCCCCGCCCCCCGCGCCTTCAACTGGGGGCCCCGTCGGTGATCCCTGCAGGGGGGCCTCCGCATTTTGCGCTACGCCACTGTGCATATCAGACACATTTGTTAGCTTTTCACAATTATGGGAAAAGCTAACAAATGTGAGGAATATTTAACATCAATATTTTAAGATCAATTTTTCTAAAGTATATTAATTTGGCCAATGTAATGTCATTTTATATCCATTTTTAGATTAAGTAAATTCAAGCAGCTTCACTTTATTCAATTTGAATTGTATTTTTGGATTATTTTTAATAAATATTTTATAAATATTGTTTTTAAAAATAAATATAATACTTAACTTATTAATATATTAATTAACACTTATCCAGCATATGTTTTACACAGCGGATGCCCTTCCAGCTGCAACCCAGTACTGGGAATCATCTATACACACTCATTTAGACACATACAATACGGCCATTGCAGTTTATTCCATTCACCTATAGTCTTTGAACTGTGGGGGAAACTGGAGCAACTGGAGGAAATCCATGCGAACATGGGGAGAACATGCAAACTCCACATAGAAATGCCAATTGGCCCAGCCGGGACTCGAACTAGTGACCTTCTTGCTGTGAGACAGTGCTAACCACTGAGCCACCGTGTCACCCCATGTGGCATAATAATAATATAATAATAAAAATATTGGCATTTCTAAACATTTAACTAGTAAAATTCTTTGTAAGTACTAGCATTAAATACATTTACAAAACACAATTTCGAAGGTGAACTTGGTGAACCCACCCTATCATCTTTTACATTCAGTTTAGTTCACTTTCTTCTCAAATAGTAAATATTCAGATTTTAATACACATAATTTGCAGCAGCTACTTGATCAGATAATTTTCTATAAGTCTCATGTACTTTAACATTAGTTATTCCAGTTTTACAATTCTCTATATTGTAAAAAAAAAAATTATTTATGTAAAAATGACAGTTTAAAGTGTACCGCCTGAAGAACCCACACACTGTAAAAAATGCTGTTTCCACACAATCGATTTGGGACAACAACACAAATAACAAATTTAAGTGGATTGAACATAAAACAATTATGTAGTCCTGCCAAAAACCTCAATAGTTGTGTTGTTCCAGCTCAATTTTAAAAAGTAGTTTAAACAAACAGACACATGTCATTTTTGGAGTGTATATGAAAAACATCCAGGTCAGTTTAAGTGCACTAATGTGTTCATGGTTTAAGGTTGTGAGTATTTGATAATGTACAATAAAGCTTCTACTAGACAACACAGAGTGTGTCTCTTTGAATCTAATCTGCTGAATTTCTGTCAACCACTACACTCAAAAAAATTACATGTGCAGTTTGTTCAAATGACTTATTTAACTTATTGCTGAATCAACACAAATCTAGCATTTTTGTTTTTTGGCACAACATAATTGTTTTATGTTCAATCAATTTAAATGTGTAAAAACAAATAAAGTTAACTTAATTCCTTCATGTTGTCACAACACAAATCGATTGTGTGGAATCCAGCATTTGTTACAGTGCAAGATTGTGTTCTCAGAAAAATACAAACTCTTTTAATCTACTCACCCTCCACTTGTTCCAAACCTGTTTGAGTTTCTTTCTTCTGTTGAACATAAGAGAAGAGATTTTGAAAAATACTGGTAACCAAACAGTTGAAGAAAGAAACTCATACAGGTTTGAAACAAGTGCATGGAGAGGAGATGATCTTGTAAGATATACAGCTATGATAAAAAAAAAAAAAACATTAGGGGAGCGCAGGGCACAAAGTAATGTAGGGTTAAATGTAACAGAGTTTTAAGGTATTTGCTCAGGGTTAAGCATGGCATGCTTCCGAGGTTTTCACCACAGTGTCAGCAGACATCTTACGGTTAATTTTTGAAAAATGTTGGTGTAATTTGGATGAGAAACACAGGACAAAACCTTTTTGCAGCATAAAAGTATTTTTTATTATACTCGATATATATATTTTTTCAAATCTGTGAAAGTATAAACTTAAAATCTTATATTGTTGTGACTACCGTCTTCAAGGCTAAAAGATTGAAACCATTTTGAAAGATGTAAAAAACACAGTGACTGCTAGCCAGTTTTGAGGAAAACTTGACACAGCGGGGTTAGTTGTAACGGTGTTACAATAAAGCCACACACTGTTGGACACCAATTAAACAAACAAAATAACTTTTTGAATTTTGAGTGTAATGTAATGAACTTTTTAAATAAAAATGTTTTTTTAATAGAAAATATTGTTTTAATAGAAAAAAATATATATTTTATTGCTAATAATGCAAAAAAAATGCAATGTATAATAATGGATAAATGGATAATAATGCAAATAGATTTAAATGTGTTTATCCAATAAACAAATAAATACATAAACATACTGTGCTATGAAGAATAAAAAAAAGAAATAAGACAATTACAGAGGAAATATAGCTATTAATATAGCTTTTATTTAAAGTAAACTGAATTTAAATTAACTGTGTGACATCTGCCTTTGTAAGCATGTGTTGCAACTGACCCCCTGTCTGTTACAACTTGCCCCACAGGTGGGGTAAATAGTAACATTTTTACTCCTGGCACTTTTGGCAATACTGCACAGAAACCATAGGTCCGGCGATCATAATTTCAGTGCTTATTTATAGGAAAGGCTTGTGTGTTGTTGGTTAAAAAGTATGATTTGTTTAACCCCATTACTTTGTTTATTAATTGACCAAAACCAAAAAGTGTTCATTTGTGCCCCCCTCTCCCATATACCTGGAAAATTACTGTTTTTTCAGGGCAACACGTTAATATTTGTTTTAGCCTGATAACATTTCTTACAAATGTAACAAAAAAATAAGAACTTAATACATTCTGACCCCCCACCACCCCCAAAAAACATCAATCTGTCAAATTATTTTAATTTAAATCCCATATTGATTCTTTTTGTCCTCAAAGGAATTTAAACATGTCTGAAAACAAAGCACTTTGTTATTTTATGCAAAAATGAATGAATGAATAAACAATTACATACAAATTTTAAAAGGACATATTACTCAAAAACATAACAATTCCTGAATCCAGAAAAGTTTCAAGCTATCTCTTATTTTTTTTCACCGATGTATATCACTGAGCTTTTTCTAATGCATTATGGGACTGTCTTATCTGTGAAGGATACACATAATATTTGCTCTACAGTTATTAGGACTCATTTACACTAATACATTTTAGTTTTAAAGTTTAAAGACCAAAACGGCCTCTTCAGCATTTTCAAAACACTCCTTTTTCAAGGCTCGAAAACTCCTCGGTAGTGTGCACACAAGGCATAGCCTTAGTAAGACTTACGCATTTTAAAACGAAAACATATTAGTATAAAACAAGGCCTTAATTGCCTTAACCTTTAGTAGCATGCTATGATGCCTCACACACACACACCTGTGGCTGCTGACATCTTGTTCTCTGCATTAGCGTGATGATGCCTCTTCAGCTCATTGGCCAGCTGCTTTCCGAGGGGCGTGTCTCCATCTGAAATGCTCGTCCTCTGATTGGTCACCCTCAGATTCAGTGGCCTCTCACCTGTTGAGACACAAACAAATACATCATTATATTTGGGCACGTTTCATGAAAATGTTTAAAGAGATAATTAAACATTATCTCTGAGCCACAAAAGACACTATGGTTGTTTAAAGTGAAAATGTATTTGGTTTGTTATTTGTACATGGTTTATTAGTTAATGTATTTACTAACATGAACTAATTATGAATAATACTTGTACAGCATTTATTACCGGGTGGTCCGGTTTCCCCCACTGTCCAAAGGACAGGCGTAAATTAGGTAAGCTAAATTAGTCCGTAGTGGATGAGTGCGAGAGGGTATTGCTGTTTCCCAGTACTGGATTGTGGCTAGAAGGGCATGCGCTGCATAAAACATACGCTGGAATAGTTGGCGGTTCATTCCGCTGTGGTGGCCTCTAAAATAGAGACTGAGCCGAGGGAAAATAAATGAATGAATGAATGAATATGGGTCCGTAGTCCGTAATGGGTCAGTTAATTTTTTTTTTCTGAAAGCTCAGTCAATACAACACTCAGTGCTCTAACTTCATATCATGATCAAGTATGTCATATTTTTTAAATATTTCCAAATTTCCTTTCTAAATGTGCTTCTTATCATGGAGTATGGTTAATGTGGCCATTAGCTCTGGTCTTTGGTCTCTGGTTGATATCCTGAAAACACTCCCCATCAGCATAATATCCATCAATGCACATTTTTTATTTGTAATTTATTTATTCATTTTTTGCTTCTGGGATGTTTAAAACAGGAGAAGGCCCTGGCTTCTTCTGGAAGCTGATTTGCATTTAAAGGGACATACACAAAATGTCATGTATTCATTCATTCATATTCCTTCAGCTTAGTTTCTCTTTCAGAGGTCTCTACAGTGGAATGAGCCAACAACTATTCCAGCATACTACTTCCAGACACAACCCGGTATTGGGAAACACCCATACACACTCATTCACTAATACACTCATACACTACGGACAGTTTAGTTCATCCAATTCACCTAAAGCGCATGTCTTTGGACTATGGGGGAAACTGGAGCACCCGGAGGAAACCCACGCCAACAGGGGAGAGAATGCAAACTCTACACAGAAATGCCAACTGGTCCATCTAGGACTCGAACCAGCAACCTTCTTGCTATGAGGCGACAGAGTAAACCACTGAGCCACCGTGCTACCCCAAAACATAAATGATAATTTATACGTGAGCTATTTTAAGCTGAAACTTCACTGACATGTTCTGATTACATCAAAGGTTTATATTTAGGCTACATCTTGGAAAAAGGGTCATCATAACGCGTCCTCTTTAACTCACCTCACAACTGTATTCATGCCCAGTGCTTAACAAAGCAAAAGGCTGCATCATTATGTCCATTACAGAGTCCAAGCTAATGCTACGAGACAAGCATTCCGCCTACCAGAAGCACTCAGCACAATCCTCTCCCTCACACACACACAGAAGTGAGCTCCATTTGATACGAGTGCACCTTTTCTTCGACTACAGCCAGCCAACGCACACGCAGTAATAGCCCGAGGACAGTGAATGCGCTGATACACCTCTGTTTCTGCTGCCTCCTTCACACAGCACATTAACCTGCTGCGTCTCTGCTGGCTGATCTCATTTGTGTCTATTGACAGGATCGGCGCAGCATCATGACTAATGTCTGTCATTTTTAACTTAACACAATGGCCTTTAATTACCAGTAGCTTCAATGTGAACACTGAGGGGACGCGTCTCTGACACCCACTCCAAACAATACCTCACTTTAAAACAAAGAGGGTAGATTATAATGGCTGTTGTGCAGTCCGACAAAACCCATAGTAAATTTGAATCCAATTGGCCACATCCCATAGGAAAATACAGTTCAATTTTATTGATTAAAGTGCATGTTTAACAAAAAGAAATGAAAGGAAAAAAATTTACTTAAAATATAAATAAATAAATAAAAACGACTGTAATTTAAAATAATTTTAATTGTTTACTACAGCCATTATTACACTTCAAGATTTTCATACAAACCAGCTATAGTTTCTCAAACACACACACACACACACACACACACACACACACACACACACACACACACACACACACACACACACACACACACACACATTAAACATAAGTAACATGCAAACAGTAGCGTGTGTGTGTACATGAATGATAAATGTACACTCACTGGCCACTTTATAAGGTACACCTGTCCAACTGCTCCTTAACGCAATTTTCGCAATTAGACATGTAGATATGGTCAAGACGATCTGCTGCAGTTCAAACCGAGCATTAGAATGGGGAAGAAAGGTGATTTAAGTGACTTTGAACGTGACATGGTTGTTGGTGCCAGACGGGCTGGTCTGAGTATTTCAGAAACTGCTGATCAACTGGGATGTTCATGCACAACCATCTCTAGGGTTTTCAGAGAATGGTCCGACAAAGAGAAAATGTCAAGAGAGTGGCAGTTCTTAAGGCAAAAGGGGATCCAACCAGGTACTAGTTAGGTGTACCTAATAAAGTGCCGGTAATATAGTATATTTATATTTATTTATTTTTGAACTCTTGAACAACAATTATTCTTGTCTTAGAACAATTTTGAATTATTATTTTTTAAATTACTTCAAATGTTGATTACTGTATATATATATATAACAATCACACACACACACACACAATGTAAAAGATTGATGCGTTTACATGCTAACACTCACTACTCTTAAGAACTTTTTGCAAAAGTACCACGTTTTACTCATACTTTGAATACTTTTACTCTACTTACACTACATTTGTGGGCAGGTAGTAATTTGTAATTTTTTACTCAGTATTCTTTCCACTACTGTTGCTGAGGGACAGAGAAGGCTAAAGCAGGACATGTTCAGTTCTCCTCTGTCTCTCTTTCTGCCGATCCAGACGCCCACTCCAGAGCTCAGAGAACACATGGGATATTAGGATCGGTGCGGGATCATGTACTCAGAGAGTTCATCAAGGAGTTATTTTCACAGCTCACTGCGCTGGCAAACAACAACAATAATTAGCATAAATAATGAGCTCAGGCATACATTAAATAAAGCCTAAGTGTCTTGTTTTTTTCCCCAAGCAGATCTGTAGTACAAAGACAGCTATCAGGATTCATCTCCATTCATCTAAATATAGGATGCCCGGCTGGTGCTTAAGATTTGAATTGTGTGAACTTAGCAACGTGCTACAATGAACCTCCAACCACCATTAAAAGCATAGGTTTTACACAGCGGATAGCCTTCCAGCTGCAACCCAGTAATAGGAAACACCCATACACACTTATTCACACACATACACTACAGATAATTTAGTTTATTCAATTCACCTATAGCACATGGGGAAACCGGAGCACCTGAAGGAAACCCAATCCAACACAGGGAAAACATGCAAACACCACACAAAAATGACAACTGACCCAGCCGGGACTTAAACCAGCAACCTTCTTGCTTTGAGGCAACAGTGCTAACCACTGAGCCATCGTGTCTCCTGTAATAAGCATAATGTAATATATCAGTATATTCATGTATTCATTCACTTTCTTTTCAGCTTATTAATCTGGGGTCACCACAGCGGAATGAACCGCCAACTTATCCAGCATATGTTTTACGCAGCGGATGCCCTTCCAGCTGCAACCCATAATTGGGAACATCCATACACACTCATTCAAACACATACACTATGGCCAATTCTCCTATAGCGCATGTCTTTGGACTTGTGGGGGAAAACTGGAGGACTTGGAGAAAACCCACGTGAACACGGGGAGAACATGTAAACTCCACACAGAAATGCCAACTGACCCAGCCAAGGCTGGAACCAGTGACCTTCTTGCTGTAAGGCGATCGTACTACCCACTGCACCACCGTGACGCCATATTAGTATATATTTAATAATTTTAATGTTAATCATATTTACAAAACTACTACTACTAATAGTAATAATAATGATCTATTATAACAACAATAAATAATATCAATAATTAATATAATTATTATTACTGTAATTTTTTTGTAATAATTACAAAATTTTGATAAATATTTTAAGAAATGCTTTAATTATTCAGTTTGATTGTACTGGTGTATTGTACTGTTGAATTGTAAAATATAAATATAAATAATCTTTAATAAGTAAACAAGTACTAAATAATCAAATAAATCAATAAATAAATTCTGATTTATAAAAATTAATATTTATTTATATATATTTGGCTGTTAAAGGATATTGTTATTCATCTTGATGAAGACCATGTAGGTTGAAATGTTGTTATATTAAAAAAAAATTGAGAGCTAAAGTGGCAGTATGCAGATTTTCTTTTGATCTTGTTAAATGATATTGCCTAAGTAACATGGATAATATTTGGCAGTGATACAACTATTCGAAATCTGGAATCTGATGATTTAAAAAACTGAGCAAACTGTCTTTAAAGTTGTCTGAATGAAATGCATATTACAAAGTAAAAATTATGTTTTTAGATATGTATAGGAGGAAATTTACAAAATGTCTTCTTGCAACATTATCATCACTCAATATTTTAATGATGTTTGGCAGAGTTGGGTGTAACGTGTTCCACTGAAATACGTTACCGTTTTCTAATTAAATTTTTTGAGGAATCCAGTAATGTAATGGTTTACATTTTACATTTGTGTAGTCTGATTACAGTTACTGAAGTCAATGTAATTGTGTTGGTTGCATTACAAATATAATATTTAGAAGAAAAAAATGCTTCTTTTAAATCACGTCTTCCAGTGCAGCATCAGTTAATAAGCATGCACTTTTAAATAGCTGGAGAACGCCAGTTAAAATAGCTACTGTCGAGAGCAGTTGCTTTTTCAAGTGGTTGATTTCATTGAGCGTAAAAACAAAAATATTGCTGTGAAATTCAGTTTATTGACCTTATTCTTCAATGCGGAAGTGCGCTTGGTTTTGCGATTGTTTTAGAACTTCTAATTCAGCTGCCTATGGGAGAAATGACTAGGAATAATAAACGTCAGAAAACTAGTGTTTGCATGATTATACAGACAAAGTACAATAAGATAATAAGAAAATATCAGTTTGCAACATCAAGCAGCAGAACAAGCTGTTTTTAACATATAAAAATGAATGGAAGTGAATGAGACCGGAAGTCTCGAGCCAAAATGATGCAAATAACTGCGCCCGCTCGTCCGCAGAGAATAAGTTGAATATCAAGTCTCTAAAGATCATTCGACTGCTTTTAACTCGACCAGCATCTTGTTCAAGCATTTGAACAGAAAGTCTTTTAAGACAATACTCGTCACCAAGGAGAACACCGATGCCCAAAAACACGGTGGCCCAACTCACCCTAAACAGACTAAAATGGATTTTTGTGCACGATCAGGAGTGAAAGTATCTTCTGAATGTAAAGAGAAGCATAGCTGCTTATGGGGCCGTACACGTATCGCCTCTTATGTGCATATTGGGAGCACTTATTTCCCAGGTGCTCTCTGTTGAAAACCATGAGTCACGTGAAAAGAACTGATCAGTTTCATACTTTGTAAGGAAAATACACATTTCTGTAGACTAATTATCTCAGACAAACAAAGAACACCCAAACACTGCAGTGCTTTTTCATACTATGGATGTCAATGGTTACAGGTATGCAGTTCATGTCCTTCTTTTGTGTTCAAAAAGAAAAAAGACAAACAGGTTTTAAACAAGTGAATGATGAGAGAATTTTAAGTTTTGGGCAAACTATGTCTTTAAGGCCCAATCACAATTCTACCCCTGAGCCCTTCCACTTACCCTTGCCCCTTGTTTTGCGTGTTCATCCCAAGGGGCAGGGGTGTTCCAATTCTCTTTAGCTTGAAGGCGTAGGGCTAAGGGGAAGGGGTGATTAGCCCTTTGAACAAAGATTTTTCAAGACCATACTCAAAACCAAGGGGTAAGAAAATTTCCCAAATTACACCAGGCGCAACGGCAATATTGCTGAACTCGGAAGTAAGGAGATCCACAAATTAGTATTTAGTATTTTTACAACAAACAAGCACATGTTTTAATATACTCATAACTGCGTTTGTGTTTTACCATCATGCTTAAAAAAAAAAAAAAAAAAAAAAACGCTAAAAAACCCTCGCTACATTTTGCAATCTATAATCCATAATAATTACTCCTGTACAGCAGTCCCACAACATTCTGACACTCGATGACACTTAAATACCCCGTCAGAAAAGTCTAGTGGCTGAGAATGAGCTTTTTACAGTGTCTGCTATAATGTTAATGTTGTTTTCGTGTGTTTACTGAATATAGCCACCTTGTAAATACACAGTACAGTTACCATCTTATTGCCACATTAGATCGTTATGATAACATAATATATGCCTTCAGTGATTTCCTGAAGATAAATACCTAAAAATAACGCAATTGCAATAACTACAGCAGTCGCTATCATCAATCTCATATGAAGCAAAGGATTGAGATGACATGAGGACATGTGCAGGTGCTGTAGTGCTGTCCCATTCCTTAGGGGTACATTTTGAAGCCCTTCCCCTTAACCCTCGGTTGTAAGGGCTAAGGGGAATGGGTAAGGGTACAAAAATAGAATTGGGATTGGGCCTAATTCTTTTAAAAATGTCAAGCTGCTTTGATCAACCCATTGTAATGTTTTTCAGGGAATATTAAACCACTAAAAGAGCTGCAGTTTACTTTGTATTTTTATAGGTATATTTTATGTCTTAAAAGCAACTTCAAAGTAAAGTAATTAGTAATCTGATTACTTTTAACATAATGTAATTAGTAATGAAATCAGATTACACTTTTCCAGTAGTAATCAGTAATTTGTAATTGATTACTTTTTAAAAGTAGCTTACCCAACATGGCATAAAAGAAAAATGTATATTTTTAGGGCATTGCCAAAAATGTATTAATGTGACACAAGCCTGGTTTTGTGGTCCACAAAAGGTTTCAATTATATTTTAATTATATTAATAAATACAAAATATATATTATCATTAAAATTAAATATAAATATATATAACCTAGAAAATAGGTTTAAGAGTCTGCAAAAAAAAAACTCTAGGTAGCCAGGCAGTACTTTGCAACACAAAAGCCCTTGTGCGCATGAACACGTTTGTACCTGTGCTGTGATGCAGATAATCAGTGCTCAGATTTAGTACAGTATATATGTGCAGTAATTATCATCACGCACCAACACAAGGGTTAGAATGAGCTCCAGACGAGTGGCATATGAATATGAGAGTGTACGTAGATCTGTGTTCATTTTTCCACCCGCCGGCGTCTCCTCTCCCTCCCTCCCCTCCACACCCGCCTCCGCCTGCAGCTGCCAGATGAGCCCCAGAAAACACCGCGTCTGGAGCAGGTGATGCAAACTGCTGAATTATCTGAGAAACAACAACTGAAACGCTCCATCGCCCTTCCATATGGTCTAATGTGGACAAAAATAACCTGGATGGGCAGTCAAGAGTGAAAAACAAATTGCTTTCTGATAATAATAATCCTAATATAATAGCTGTTTGTATTGAGAATGTGTTTCTTGACTCTTGCGTGATGCGCAGTGTGGTTCACACATGGTTTTATTTGCTTTGTGGCCTGAAGTTTTGGATTCTAATGATCTGATGATATGGTGATGCTGTACTGTGGTAAACTAGGTTGTTTTTGTAGTAAACTAACAACAATTTAAGTCATTTTTAATTTACTGGAAATGAAATAAATCTTGTAATTATTAACTATATATAATAAACTATTAGATTGTTAAAAATTATTAGCTTTAATTATGTACACTTTGTACACTATGTACAAATCAAACTAAAATGAAAATATATAATTAGTTAATCAATTAATTAAAATAGAGACATTTAAATTATAAAAAACTAAATACAAATTTAAATGAACCAATGATCGTTTATAGTAACTATTAATAGTTTGTTAATAATTGTTAGCTTTAATTAAATACACTTTTTAGATGTAAATTCAAACAAAAATGGAATTATATAACTAATTAATTAAAATAGAGACATTTAAAAATAAAAAACTAAATACAAAAGTATGAACGATCATTAATGTTAAGAGTTTGTGCACAATTATTAGCTATAATTTTGTACTTTCAGATGTAAATTCAAACTTAAATAATTATATATTAAATAAAATAGAGACATTTAAATAACAAAAAATGTATACAAATGTAAATGAATCAATGATCATTAACGTTATTAACAATGAATAGTTTGTTAATTATTAGCTTTAATTATTTACAATTTTCAAATGTAAATTAAAACTAAAATGAAATAATATTAATTAATCAATATAGAGACATTTAAATAATAAAACAACTAAATACAAATATTAATGTATAATTTAGGTTAAAGACCTAAAGGTTTAATTAATTTAAAGACTTAGGTTTAATATATCTATATGTATAATTTTGTATATAAAGACCTTTATAAAAAGAACCAATTAGATTTTTTTATTAATAAAAAAAAACAGGTAAAAATACAAACTGTTTTCCCCTCACAAAGCACTGGATTTTAAATTATTAATAAACTAAATACTATTTATTAATACAAATAGTAAATCTAAATTATTATTATTATTATTATTATTATTATTATTATTAATTATATTAATATTAATATTAATAAAGGCGGGTTCACACCAAGCACGATAACAATAATGACATTGTAATATTAGTAACTATATTTTTAGACCATTTTATCATGTTGATAACATATCTGATACCAGTAATTGTACTGTTTTAGCACCAAACATGCATAATCTTTCCCTTGAAATGAAAATCACACATTCAAAACAGTAAAAAAAATCACTTATTAATAGTGAAAGCAAAAAATAGTAACATTGTTGAAATTAAAAAAAACAAAAGAATAAATAGTATTATAAAAATAATATTATCTTCAAATTTCGTTATTGCTTAAAATTTTTAAACACACACAATCTCTGACAACCCTAGAAGTTTGTGAAAGCTCTTGTTGGACCCTAGTTTAACCTTCAGTTAACCTACCGAAACAAACTGATTTAAATAAAAAGCATCTGCAATGTGTCAAATAAGCCATCCTCTCCAGTTCCACAAAGCCCAAACTTACCCTGCGGCTCAGTGTTTTTGTCAGCCGTGAGGCCGTTGCTGTTCTGCCGGTCTGCGCTGTGTTTGTAGGGGCCTGGTGGGACCCTCCACTCCAGAGCCTGAAGTCTGTCCTGCGCTGCGGCGTCATGCAGGATCTCCATCTGCTTGGCCAACAGACGCTCCAGCTGAACCTATAATATGCACAGACAGCAGGGAGTCACACAGGCGGATGTGTACAGCACTGAACGTACAGTGTGAAAAAAATCATTTCCAATAGTCAACATTCAAAAATATACTGCAACTGCGGTGACACAAAATAAAACTAGCCATAAATAAGACCCGCGGATTATGCTGCAAATTCATATTTGCCCATCCAACAGGGTTTTACAGTTACTATATGTACCGTTGAAATCAGAATTATTAGCCCTCCTGGATTATTAGCCCCCCTGTATATTTTTTGCCACGATTTCTGTTTAATGGAGCAAAGATTTTTTTTCAATACTTTTTAAATATAATAGTTTTGATAATTCATTTCTATTAATTTAGTTATTTTATCTTTGCCAGTATTTTATCCATGACAGTACATAACATTTTACCAGATATTTTTAAAGATACTAGTATTCAGCTTTAAGTGACATTTAAAAGCTTAAGTTTGTTCTTTAGACCATTGAAATAATAAATAATATTAAAATAATAAGGGGGCTAATAATATTGACCATAAATAGTAAAAAAAAAAAAAAACTTTTATTCTAGCTGAAATAAAACAAAACTGAAACAAGACTTTCATATATATATATATATATATATATATATATATAATTATTAATACAATTAAAGTATTTTTTTCTTTGTATTTAAAAATAATAATAAATTTGAAAGGGCAACACAGTGGCTTAGTGGTTAGCATTGTCGCCTCACAGCAAGTTTCGCTGGTTCAAGTCCCTGCTGGGTCAGTTGGCATTTTTGTGTGGAATTTGCATGTTTTCTCCACATTGGTGTGGGTTTCCTTCCTAGGCCGAAGGAAAATGAATTAATGAATCAAATTAGGAGATCACCATGGCATTTTAAATGTAATACAGTTTGGTATATTTAGCTTCGGCCCACCACCCTCAATCAAGTTGGTTTTTTCCCTTTGTAAGAAAAGTTTTGCGCACCTCTGCTTTAAATAATGTATTATAAGACATTGATTTTGCCAAGGATGATCGAATGAATTATGAAAATCCAAAAATAAGTGTGGAGCTCGAATCCTCTATTAATTCCAATAGCACCCCTCTTACATGTGCAACAGCATGCTACCTCCAGCAGACAAAACTTTCTGTTTTTACTTTTTTTTTTTTTTTTTTTTTTTACACAGGAAGATGCTATTCACAGTTACAAAATGACACGTTTCCACTTCAGAACACAAAAGCAGCATAATTAACTGATGTTTCTACGGCAATGCGTTCCTGTCAATCTATCTATTGAAAAACACAGCAATTAAAGAGAGGGAAAAAAAGCAGCTCTGAATGTTTTAAATGCTAAAAAACTGCTCTAACAGCTCAAAAACAAAAAAAGGTGTCAACTCTGTCTCATATGCAGAGGCGATAAATAGGCACAAATGAAACAGCTGTTTACAGGAAGTAAGGAAAGTACATAAAAGCAAGTTAGAATAGACAACTAAATGAAAGTTTACTATAGGCTCTGGAAACATGTTACTTGTTGAATTATGTTCGAAAATATTGTTTAAAATACTGCAAACATTGTTATTTTACTGAACGGTTTGTATGATTGATTCAATGACTCGCTCACAAAGACCTCTTTTGTTGTCTTCTCTCTCTTATAGATAACTTGATGTTTACATTTGAGCTGGGTACAGTTATTATCATATATTGTTATATGTTTTAATCATTTAATGTTATATCATTTTATACGGTTATTTGTACTTAATTCAATTGTGACCACAGAGAATTGTTGTCATTAAATCATTTCATATTCAAGTATTTGATAGTATTTATATTCAAGTATATATTCAAGTATTTATTTATTCAAGTAAATAATATTTGACTAGATCTTTTTCAAAACACTTGTATACAGCTTAAAGTGACATTTAAAGGCTTAACTAGATTAATAGGTTAACTATGCAAGTTAGGGTAATTAGGCAAGTTATTGTATAACTTGTATAGCTTGTAATAATATTATATAACTTGTATTGTACTGTAGACTATCGAAAAAAATTAGCTTAAAGGGGCTTATAATTTTAACCTTAAAATGGTCTATCTATCCATCTATCGGTCTAAATCCATCCATTTATCTATCTATCTATCTATCTATCTATCTATCTATCTATCTATCTATCTATCTATCTATCTATCTATCTATCCACATACACACACACACACACACACACACACACACACACACACACACACACACACACACACACATATATACATATTTTGCGATCTCCAGAAAGGTATATGGCTCTTTCAGAATCAGCCTATGTTGTGTAAATCTAGTTTCTGTGATAGGGTCTATTTTTGTGGAAAAAGGGTGAATTTGGAGTCATAATGTAGAAAGCAAAAGTCTTTAGTAAGAAAATCCAATACACTTTCTAACAGTTTTACCTTTATACTTCTGTTTTAGAGTTTTTGTGTTATCTCTATACACCCAGAGTCTGAGAGTAATGTCATTTGAATTCTCTGTATTTCTATACATCCTGTGGCAGAATTGACAATAAAGCTGACCTTGACTAACACACTCTTTTGTGTAAACTACTTATTTAAAATAAGCTGAAACAACACTATTTATGAGGTTTTTTTTTTGGGACAACTTAATTATTTTATGTTCAATCCACTCATTTTGTAAAAACGAATAAGTTTATCTCAACACAAATCGATTGTGTGGAACCCAGCATTTTTAACAGTGCATAATCCATCCATTGATTTGTCATATATATTGCTGACCAAAAGTAGGCCACGGTCAGGAGGACAGTTGAAGCTCTCGCAGTTGCTGAAGCAAAACCCTGCACGATAGGCTAGCAGAGCGAGACGTGTGGTGGTAGACATAGACATGAAGACGGCGCCTGAGAGCATTCCTCTCCCACACACAAATAAACACACTGTCATAATGCAGTCAGTCACCTGGATGTTCCGCCCGAGCGTCTCCTCTCCTTTAGATCTGGCGTGGGCAAGCTGCTCCTTAAGGGTCTCCTGGCGCATGTGAATGGCCTGCAGCGCCTCCTGGAGGTCAAAACAGCCCTCCTGCAGATCGATACACATTCTGTTGATATTGGCTTTATGCTGAACGTCACATCAACAAACCAAAAAACTGGTCTAATTGTATCTGCTAGTCAATGATGGGCATATTAATGGACATGGCTAACCAAGACAGTTCTTTGTAATGTTGCATTTTATTTGCATTTAAATGTCCAAATGGGTGGCGTGGTGGCCCAGTGGGTGGTGCTGTCGCCTCACAGCAAGAAGGTCGCTGGTTCGAGCCTCGGCTGGGTCCGTTTCTGTGTGGAATTTGCATGTGCTCCATGTTGGTGTGGGTTTCCTCCGGGTGCTCCGGTTTCCCCCACAAGTCCAAAGACATGCGCCATAGGAGAATTGAAAACGCTAAATTGTCCATAGTGTATGTATGTGTGTAAATGAGTGTGTATGGATGTTTCCCAGTAATAGGTTGCAGTTGGAAGGGCATCCGCTGTGTAAAACATATGCTGGATAAGTTGGCAGTTCATTCCGCTGTGGCGACCCCTGACTAATAAAGAGACTAAGCTGAAAAAAAGAAAATTAATGAATGAATAAATGTCCAAATGTTAGGCTACTACAAAAAGTTTTTGTGTGCAGTGTGCAATCAAAGTCGTTAAGCATTGAAGCCAAGCATACAACAAAGCTGAAATGGAAGTGATCCGTTTCATAGAATACATTCTCAAAAATCAAGGTTCCAAAAGGAGGTTTTCACAGGATGCATGCGAATACTTTCAAAACAAAGATTACAAAACTTTGAATACATTCATTGTGATACCATAGAACACAGGTGTCAAAGCCAGTTCCTGGAGGGCTGCAGCTCTGCTGTTTATGTTTAACCCTAATTAAACACACCTGATCAAACTAATTGAGTCCTTCAGGGTTGTTTGAAACCTAGGCTGCATCCGAAACCGCCTACTACTCAGTAGGTACTGCATTTGAATTTAAACGTACTACTCGGCCGTTAGAAAAGTATGTACTATACAGTATGAATGAGAAAAGTATGAATGGAATTCAGATGTACTACATCCGCCATTTTGTCATGGTCACGTGACCTACCTGCGTCAGTTGCGTCGCCTCACTTTCATTCATGAATTCTCTCACGGGGCATTATGGGATAGCACAGTGTGCATGGGATGCGCACTTCAGAATCTCGCCGGAAGTAGTAAGTCATCCGGGTACTTCTCGCCTACTGATTTTTAAATTAGCATACTATATAGTATGGAAGTATGCAGTTTCGGACGCAGCCCCACAGATAAGCGTGTTGAACTAAAATGTGCAAACTAAACTGTGGTCCAGAAGAACCATTTTGGGTTCCCAAAAGAAATTTTCAGGGAACAATTCTTAAAGGAATTATGTTTTATACTTTATGGATTTTGCATACTATAAAGAAACTTTTATGGGATGTAAAAGTTATAAGGATACTAAAAATCCTCCATAAAAGCACCACTGATAAACCCTAAAAAAATTATTGTAAAGCCAATGGTCATTTCTGGGTTCTCAAATAACCTGTAAATCGTTAAAAAAAAAAAAAGTATAGAAATAGATTTTTTAACATTTACCAACGGCCATTTATGACACTTATGAAAATGTATATTTAAAGGGATAGTTCACCCAAAATTGTTCCAGAACAGTTTGAGTTTTTGTTCTATTGAACACAGAATATATATTGAAGAATAGTGAAAATCTGTAACCATTGACTTTTAGTTTTTCTTTTTCCTACATGGTAATCAATGATTACCGGTTTCCACAATCCTTTAAATGTCCATTTTGGACTTATTTTTTATTTCTTAAGCTCTAATAGTTTTTACTGGTTAATTGAGAACCCAGGCCATTGTTTTTAAAATAGTTTTTAAAGGGTTTATCAACTGTGCTTTCATGAAAGATTTTTAGCATCCATATAACTTTTACATCCCGCAACTGTCTCTTTCCAGAACAAAAACTCAAAAACTCCAACTGTTTTGAAATTAATTAAAGGGTTACTAAATGATGACTCAATTTTTTAACTTGTATTTACTTTCGATCAGCCATTTTAAAAAACAAAGCATGCCGTTTCCACTTTATTTAGTCATTCATTCATTCATTCATTCTCCTTTGGCTTTGTCCCTTATTTATCAGAGGTCGTCATAGCGGAATGAACTGCCAACTATTCCGGCATATTTTTTGTGCAGCAGATGCCCTTCCAGCCGCAACCCAGTACTGGGAAATAACCATACACACTCACATTCACTTAAAGCGCATGTCTTTGGATTGTGGGAGAAACCGAAGCACCCGGGGAAAATCCACATGAACCAGTGACCTTCTTGCTGTGAGACGACAGTACTAATTGCTAATTTATAGAATATATAGATTTTTTAAATCTCTTTTCCTACATCATTTTCCTCCCACTTTATCAGGACAATGAAGGTTGCATTAAGGCGGCATAAATTGTTGTTTCGGGAAGGAAAGTAGTTTTTTTTTTCCCAATTGGTAGTAATACAGCTTCTCCAAAACAAACAAACAAACAAGCAAACAAACAAACAAGCAAACAAACAAGCTAAAAGTAGATTTGGTCTGGGAATTGATTCACTCATTGTGGTGTGCAATACAGTACTGTAGCTGCACCTGTTCCCACGTCATCAGGAAGATGTTGTTGAGAGTGGGAGGTGAAAGTTATTTTGATTAAAGATTATGTGGGAACATAAATATGAAAACAATTTATGGCACTATGCACGTGTTCATTATGAAGAATCAAATTACACAAAAAACCTGACACACCACATTTAAAGAATAGAAGTGTCACAGCTGAATGCCAACACCTCCTTTAAGTCCACAAACCACGACAGCATTGGCCAGAGAACTGAAAACCTAACTAATAGAAATGAACCACTCTCTTACCGAAGGTTCATGAGGTTAATGTGACATTTGTAAAATACCAGAACAATTCCAGGACACGCTGTTAATCTCAACCACTTCACAGAGCAAAGCCACTAATTTTTCGCTAACGGAGTGCAAAAAAAGAAGCTTCACTCCACTGAGGCGAAAAGGTCAGATACTTAATAAAATGTCATCCCACTTAAGAATCCCCTCAGGATGAGTTTCAACCGACAGGCTGAGGAACTAATAGTACATTCTGTCCAACGGGCCGCTACATCCGTTTAGAAAGTTAATGTGGGACAGGTGATGTAGCTATGACCTACTTAAATAATATAGATCTGCTGAATAAAAAGTCTGTCATTGTTTATTGTAACATTACAGGGTTAGGGTTAATCATCTTTTATCAAACACTGGATGAGGAAAACAGTCTATTATTAGATGTTTATTTCACACAAAGGTTTATTTGCTAAAGTCTGTTGATAAATACATGCTTACAGTACATTCTCATTGGAATTTGTGCAAAGTTCAGTGCGTTCATGCAGTCCACCATACCTGTCCAGGTAGCTGATAGATCTGGGCCATGAGAGGTCTTCTGTGAATATTGGTAGGCTCAGAAGGCTGTTATCATTCATCCACATGGTTAATCAGCTATAGATCACATACGGCTGTGGCCGGAAGTTAACGAGAATTATTTATATTATTTATTAAATTTCCAATTTATTGTATTTTATTAACATCTACCCCCACCCCAACCCTAAACCCAACCATCACAGTAATGTAAAAACCAATCTGGATCTGGAGTCTTCTCTATTAGTATAGCTGATTAACCATGTGGATGGATAATAACAGCCTTCTGAACCTACTAGTAGGCGTAAAAGGCCCTTAATGGCCCATTTCTTTCAGCTATTAACCACTGATTAAGCACATTCTGTCAAGTGACAACATCCGAACCGGGTGGTGGCCCCCTGAAACATTATGTTACTAACATCACAGTACAGTTCTCAACTGTGTTATTCCGACAAACACACACCCCCACCTCCCATCTATCTTCTGGAAATTTAGAGACAAATGTTGGCAGGTATGCAATCCACTAGTTATTATGGCTGTCATAATAAATGCACCGCTCTTGTTCTTAGAAAGTAAATACACTGCCAATCTAAAGTTACTTTATGCAAAGAAGCATTACATTTATTAGAAGTAATAATACTAACATTTATAATGTTTAACATTGTTCTAGTGAAATTTAAAAATAAAATGTTTCATAATATAACAAAATAAACATAAATAATAATAATAATAATAATAAACCAACACAAATTAATACTTATTTTTTGAATAATTATATCAAATTGCAGCAATATTTTCAACATTTTCAAAAAAATTTTTTTAAATAAATAAACTAAATAGTAAATGAGTAAAATTAAATATAAAAAAATACTTATTTAAAAATTTAATAAATAAATGAATAAATAAATAAATAAAACAATAAAAAAATAAACAAACAAATAGTACAACATGAAGGATGAGTTTTAAAATACAACTGTTTACACGCATCGCCATGGCTGCAAACTACCACAGACATTCCGGTCTTTTCACTACTAGTTGGGTGTTTTGAGGCCAAGAGGTAACTGTTAATAACAGCTCTGACGCAAGTTTGCCAAACACTCACGCAGCAACAATGAAGTCATGGAGCCACTCCTGTGAGTTCAGCCTTTTCTCTTTTTCTAGAGTGCTGAGACAAAGGTGCTGCATACGCCTGCATGTATACGCATGTGTCTTCAGACTCGGCCCCTTTTCACTTTGTGCTATCTGCGCAAATGTCTGGGCGTGGGTGATTCCGAGTGCACCCACGTAATGATGTCACCGCTACCTCAAGAATACGGGTGGGTGCTCGACTGATCTCATTTGGACCTTGTCTGGGTGAATGTGGGCGGGTGGCTTATACTCACTGGTGTGGATGGGAGTGTAAAGTGGGCAGAAGTCGAGGCCAGACAGGGACAGTGCTGGGGGAGGGGAAGTTCATGCGTTTTCAGACAAAGCTTATTAGCTAACTGTAAAACACTCTGAACTGTGGAAAATCCATTGAGGGTTAATTGAGTGCATCGAAACTTGCAAAAGCAATGTAAAAGGACTGTCAGTTTACTGTACATGTTATGCAACTAAATGTTCATCAACAGTAAGTTGAGATCAGTTTTTAGTAGCAGATTGTTTAGCTGTTTTTGGCCCAAAAGTTTTTATTTTAGCTAAAAAGTAGTGCATTGGCACATTGGCAACAGTACACACTACCTGACAAAAGTCTTGCCACCCAAGTTTTAGGAACAATAAATAATAACTTGACTTCTAGTTACTCATTTGGTATTTAAAGTGGCTTATATGAAAGGCATAGCTCTCTATATTAGGCCTCTTTTACCAAAATAAAATATGATCATGTCTTGATTTTTAATTATTTAATTTAGGACAGAAGGTCTGACATTGCTTAGACAAAAGTCTTGTCACTTAACAGAAATAATGTACAGTATAGAATATATAGTCATGGTGCAGTGGAAAAAAAATGAATATTGTGCATGACTCCCATAAGCTTGAAGGACTGCATCCACACATCTCTACAATGACTCAAATAACTTATTAATAAAGTCATCTGGAATGGTAAAGAAAGCGTTCTTGCAGGACTTCCAGAGTTCATCAAGATTCTTTGCATTCATCTTCAATGCCTCCTCCTTCATCTTACCCCAGACATGCTCAATAATGCTCATGTCTGGTGAGTGGGCTGGCCAATCCTTGAGCACCCTGACCTTCTTTGCTTTCAGGAGCTTTGTTGAAGTATGAGAAGGAGCGCTATCCTGCTGAAGAATTCGCCCTCTCCTGTGGTTTGTATTGTAATGGGCAGCACAAATGTCTTGATACCTCAGGGTTTTGGGTTTACCATCCACTCTGCAGATCTCTTGCATGCCCCCATACTGAATGTAACCCCAAACCGTGATTTTTCCTTTACCAAATTTGACTAATTTCTAAGAATCCTGGGTTTGTGTGGCTTCCAATAGGTCTTCTGCAGTATTTGTGATGATCATTTGCTGCTCTTACAAATGGGATCGACGACATGACCTTTGTCAGGTAGTGTAATGTTGTTGTTGTTTTTTTTAAAACAAATTATTCTCTCTGGCGCATATCAATTTGTGACCCTGGACCACAAAACCCAGTCACAAGTGGCATTTTTTGGGGGAGAAATTGAGGAATTAATATACATAAATAAGCTTTGCATTGATGATTTAATTTAGTGTTAACTGACAGCATCGAAACTTGCAAAAGCAATGTAAATAACTGTCCATTTACTGTAACTAATGTAATATTAGGCAACTGAATGTTCATCAACAGAGAATTCAGAGTTTTTAGTAACAGATGGTTTAGCTGTTTTCAAATAGAAGTTTTTTTATTATGTTTATTTTAGCTAAGGTGTGGTGCATTGGCAGGAACAAACAGTATATTGTTTTTTTTTATTTAAAAAAAGAGAGAAATAATTTTCTCTGGCACATATCAATTTGTGGATTGAGGTTTATACATAAATAAGCTTTCCATTGATAGTTTATTTCAGTTTTACTCACCAAAAAAATTGAAATTTGCAAAAGCAATGTAAAGAATAGTACATTTACTGTAACTAATGTAATACTGTATGCAACTAATTGTTCATCAACAGTAATTCAGTTTTTGGTGGCTGGTTTCAAGATTTCATATATATTGGAAAACAAAGATAAGGGAGTAATTTTACCTTGGCTACTTATAGTCAGTTTGGATTAATCTGATTGGCTAACTAATGATTGTAGATGAGAAACCAGCTGCGGTCAAGCATATCATGTGCTCCTCTCGAAATTAGTTTGTGAAACTTCACTTATTGGTTTTTAAAAGAGAAGATTTGTTTTATTTGAACTTAAACTGGTAAGAACAAAGAGAATATTGTTTAAAAAAAAAGGGAGACAAATGATTGTCTCTGTTGCATATCAATTTGTGAGCCTGGACCACAAAACCAGTCACAAGTGTCATTTGTTTTTTGGAAATTGAGGGATATCCATAAATAAGCTTTCCACTGATGGTCCAATTCAGTTTTACTCACTAAAGTGTTTAAAACTTGCAAAAGCAATGTCAAAAAACTTTCAATATCCTGTAACGTATGTAATCTTATGCAACTAAATGTTCATCAACAGTCCAGTTTAGTTTGTAGTGGCATATAGTTCAACTGTTTTTAAAAGAGAAGAGTTTTTCCCCCCAAAAACGTTTTATTTAAGTTAAAAAGTGATGCACTGGCAAGAACAAACAATATATTGTTTAAAAAAGGGAGACCATTTATTTTAGACATTGAGTTTTATACATAAATAAGCTTTCCATTGATGGTTTGTTTTGGAGGATAGGACAATATTTAGCTGATATACAACTATTTAACATCTGTAATACTGAGAAAAAAAACCCCTTTAAAGTTGTCAGTAGCTGGGGATTTTGCATGACTAAGTTTTGATATTTCATTTAATAATTTAATAAAGTATAATACAGTTAGCACAAATGGGCATAAAACTGAATAAATAAATAAATAAATAAATACATTCGCATTTAAAATGGAACAAATCTCAAACTTAAATGTAGCTGTAACCTGCTCAAATCACATGGATCTGCTGAATACAAGTGCTGTTTGGTAGCCTGCTACTGCTTTTTATAATGTCATAGGGTTAGGGCCGGGGTTAGGGTTAGTCATCTTTTACCAAATACTGGATGAGTAAGACTCTCTATTATTGTATGTTTTTTTCTTTCACATAAAGGTTTATTTACAAAAGTCTGTGTTAATAAATATGTTTACAGTGCATTCTCAATAGGATTTGTGCAAATTTAAATATGTTCATGCACCAGTAAATTTGGCTGTCATAATAAATGCACCGCTCTTGTTATTCTAAAGTAACTACACTGCCATTCTAAAGTTTTGGGTCTGAACGAGTTTTTATTTTGAAGAAATTAATAATTTTATTATGCAAAGAAGCATTACATTTATCAGAAGAAGTGATTATAATAACAATCATAATGTTAAAAATTAGATTTCCATTACCTTATTTATTATTATAAACATTGTTCTGGTAAACGTTTTACTCCGCAAACAATCGTGAAATATTTGTTATAACACAGCAAATAATAATAATAATAACAACAACAATAATAATAACAACCACAATTATTATTACTTAATTTTGAATAATTATCTTACATTGTATCAATATTTTTCCAATATCTAAAAAATAATTAAATAATATAAAAAGTATTAATTATATATAATTAATAAATTAATTTCATTCATTTATTCATTTTCTTGTCGGCTTAGTCCATTTATTATTCCGGGGTCGCCACAGCGGAATGAACCCCCAACTTATCCAGCACATTTTTAAACAGCGGCTGCCCTTCCAGCCACAACCCATCTCTGGGAAACATCCACACACACATTCACACACCCAGTTATACACTGCGGACAATTTAGCCAACCCAATTCACCTGTACCACATGTCTTTGGACTGTGGGGGAAACCGGAGCACCCGAAGGGAAACCCACATGAATGCAGGGAGATCATGCAAACTCCACACAGAAACGCCAACTGAGCCGAGGATCGAACCAGCGACCAAGCGACCTTTCTTGCTGTGAGCCGACAGCACTACCTACTGCGCCACTGCCTCGCCATAAAATTTATCAGGGGTCACCACAGCGGAATGAACTGCCATAATTTATCTATTAATTTATATATAATGTAAGTTTTATTAATTATTTATCAATAATATTATAAATAAAATAATATAAGTAGCAAAAAACACCAAACAAGTGAAATAAACAAATCGCAGCATCTTCCCCAAGCTGCTGTTGATTCACATGAGAGTGCAACTGTGGTAACATGATGTAAAAATGAGATCAAATTTGAATATTAAGTGAGTAACAATGCAAATTAGGGGGGAAGGAAGCCAATGGGTAATTTGCCACTGTCTGATAATGATAAAGGGCTCATTTCTCCTTAGTGGTGGAGTGGGCAGAAACCACTGATTTTCCGAAGTGGTCACATGTCTTTGCCCGTATACATAGTGAAACCAGGGCAAAGGTGAAGCGGGCAAACACCTGCTCTTCTCGAGACACCACCCCAGCCCAGAAGCACTGATGTGGGATGTTAGAAGTTTCCAGAAGATCTAACGACTGGACAACGATCAAATGTGTCACCAGAGAGCCATGAATGGACATCTGCCATAGAGCACAAAGGCCTCTTCAGCACATCAATAAGATCACTATGCAAGTATAGGGCAGACCGATCACGGATATGTAGGCTATGGAAAAATAATGACCGTGGGCTGGCTAAATATGGATTTAAGGTGTGATTGAGGGAGTGGGCTTGTGAACATTAGTCCTTTGTAATTTCTCTAGGCTGAACTTTAACCTTTTTTCCTCTACACCGTGACATGCAATCCTGATGGAGTTACCCCGCATGCTCCTGCAAAGCCCTCCTACACAGTTCAGTCTGCTGACAGGCAGCTATGCAAACAAAAAGCCACTGGACCCACCCAGTGTCAATCCTGCCTCCTACGACAGTTTCCTCGCATATTGGTGTTAGCGCCGCAGCGCACATTAATAACAGGACGACTCGAGAAATTGCGTCGGAAGCCTGAAGACAGATTATTTGGAGTTCAGGTTGGAGAAATCATGAAGCAGTTTTACTCACCTCAGTTTTAATTCTCTTGGGCGAGGGCTCATCTCTGTCACCGCATCGAGATCTGGAGGAGTGAAAATGAAATTTTCAGCCATGAACAAACAAGATGGGTGAAACCACTACTATTGAAATATTCTTTTCACGAAAAGGTGACCTAATGCTATAATATAAACAATATTGAAATGAAATAAAAAGCCATGGTTCATTCATTCATTTTCTTTTCGGCTAAGTCCCTTTATTAATCTGGGGTTGCCACAGCAGAATGAACCGCCATCTTATCCAGCATATGTTTTTCAAAGCGGATGCCCTTCCACCTGCAACCCAGTACAGGGAAACATCCATACACACATTCATACATTACTGTCAATTTTAGCATTCCCAATTCACCTATACCACATTTTTTTGGATTTGTAGGGATACCCGGAGGAGACCCAGCCGGTTTTTCAACATGCAAAATTCACACAGAAATGCCAGCTGACCCAGTCGGGGCTCGAACCAACGACCTTCTTGCTGCGATGTGATTATGCTACCCACTGCTCCATCGTGCTGCCCCTCATCTCATCACTATACTTAAAAAGTTTAGTCAGTTTGTCTAAATATTCCTGATTTTGATGTTTTACCTTTAGAAGGCAAATTATTTTATGTATTTTTCAACTCCCCAAATGCTGGGAGTCTAACCTCTTTATATGTTAATGCTTTTAAAAGCAGAACAGATTTTTCTTCTCTTCATTTGAAAGCCGCTTGGGAAGACGACCTAGGCATTTTAATCTCTGAGAATGATTGGGATCAATGCCTTTATCTGTTTATTCATGTTCTATAAAGTCTAGACACAACCTTATTTAGTTCTAAGTATTACACAGACTTCACTATTTTAAAAGAAAGCTTAGTAAATTCTTTACCTCTGTTTCCCCCACATGCTACAAGTGTAAAGCTGCCTAGGGTACTTTAGCCCATTTTTTGTTGGTCCTGTGTTCATATTCAGAGTTTTTGGTTTAAAATATTTCAGTTCTTTTATAAGGTGTATGACAGTGTTTTACTCCCTGACCCAATGATAGCAATTTTTGGCTCATATTTCCTGGAAACTCTCAACCGAAATGTCGCCATTTTCCCTTGTTTCACATATACATAAAGAAGAATTAAACAAACCCCATAATGTAATACGGCTCCTGCTGTAGCACCCAAAAAGCAGAGGAAGATGCTAAACATTGCACATAACATGCTGGACATGCTAAGGGAAGGTAGAAGTAACATGCCTGTATGACGCTATTACCGAATAAATGATTCAATCGGTTCATAACATTGAGATTAACAGCCATAAAACATCTATAATTTATGGTTTCACCTATTGCGGGTTATTTTTAGAATGTTATATTTACAATTTAGATATTTTTGATTAACCAGAGACCACTGTTCATTAAAAAAAAAAAACTATTTGGCATATCAGAATTATTTCTGAAGGATTGTAAAGAAATATGATAAAATAAAAAAAAAAACATGATTTAAAAATTAAAAAACGCAGCAAGACAATGATATTGTAAAATGATTTAATGAACTGTATTGAATAATAGTATAAGAGATTATTATTCTTTTAAATCTTAGGAAACTACTTGAACAGTATAGATTTTATTAGATTGTGTCTATCTGCCTCTGGGAGAACCTAATATTCCCATAAAACTATAGGATTTTTTATTAATTTCACTCTTATATTTTATGGCAGAGCATACCTTAAACATTTCAGAAATACTTCACACCTTAACAAACCAGGAAACACCCATCTAGACTTTTTACATATTAACATTATACAGATTTTCTGGGATCACATTTCTGGGATCAACTTGTAAAGTTTTAAAAAATATACTGCAAGAAATTAGTCTGCCTCGACCCAGCTTCCACTCTGGTGTGTTGATGCTCATTTCAAAAAAAGCTGAATGGGCTTTATGCACAGCTATTTTTTTATTTCACAAGGTTCCTTTTACAGCATCAATGTTGTAATGTTATTCAAATATATTGAGTTAAATAGACTTAACCATCCATTTAGTTGTTAAAGCATAAAAAGAGACGAAAACCCGTTTAAATGCAGGCGCCGCCATTAGGAGCAGGCTAGCGCAGAAATTGCATTGAAAATACTGGGGTAAAATTAATTTCCATATTTTAAAGACATGGCATGGAAAAATATAATTTAATGCAGTGCCTCATGTTTGGTCCCATTTTATATCGTATCTCAGCCATGCAGTGAAGGGATTTAAAGGGGTGGTCCACTACGATATCGTATTGTAAACTTTAGTTGATGTGAAATGTAGCTGTGTGAACATAAACTCTAAGTTCAATGCAGACGTTGGCTTTTACAGAGTTAACTTAGTGAAGCCTATAGCAGACGAAGTTTGGGGATGACAAAAAAATACATCCGAGTTAATGATGCCATAACATTCAGGTTATGCAAATACACCTCGCGCAGCAAAGGGGCATGGCCAGAGGCGCTGTAATGTTATAACATAGACGTTCCTGGTGATGTGGAGTTGATCTATGAATCACAGCACATTATGTTAGCTAACCAATCAGAGCCTCTTGAGGGTGGGTCTTCAGAGGAACTAGGAAATATGACAGTCGTTTTCTTGTTAGCTGAGTAGTTGTATATAATCAAAGTAGGATATATGAAAAAAATAATGTGATTTCTACAAATGAAGCATGAGCACTCATTGCTTTGCACCCAATAAACACAACCAAGCCTTAAAAATACACTCTGCACCACCCCTTTAAAGAAATCAGATCTTAAACGCATCTATTTTGTATGGGATGACAATTAACCAGAAGCCGTGGGGCTGGCTGACTATAAAAAAATTTAACCGTGTGCATATACCCCATTATGATAGAAAAGATAAGTCAACAGTTTGTTGTCTCTGACTTAATCTTGAGCAAATGTTAGCAACTGTAGGATGGGGATGGGTGTGCGGCACTGAGAACCATCTCATCAATGGGGTGGAAACTGCATTAGCATATAGAGAACAGCTCTGTCAACAGCCAAGAAGCAGCTCCATTACCTTTAAATGCAGTAAATTAAAACTGTACAAGTTTAAGAAGGTTCAGGGTTCATTCTGACTCGGTTATGCTGAATAAACATCTTCATTAAGATCTTTAACGTCCTCCTCATTTTTTTTTACAATGAGTTAAAAATATCAAAAAAACTGTTTAGTTTATCTTCTTAACCAATCCGATCTAAGTAGTTACATAGCCCCAGCCTCATCAGCCCCAGTCATTCCTAATATCTGGTTTCATAAAAAGTAGTACAGCATTTCACCTGCAACAATTTGGAAGCGCCCTTGGCAAATTTCATTATGACGCAAACGGCATTGTAAGAAAACTTGGCCTAGATAACTTTCACAAAACCCAGGCCATGACAGTGATGCAATCTTTCGAGTTGTGAATGAGTGACTGTCATTATGTAACGCCAAAAGGAATTTTCCATCCTCTGACACGCAAGCCTGGCAATCCAGGAAACACCTGCACGCTCTCTTTGGATGGCAGGTTTTGAGTGTCTGATAAGGACTCTGTGCCTTTAGATGCAAAAGAGTGGGAGTGTTCTCATCTCTCCATAGACCTCAGTGCAGCACTTCACACTTCGACACAAAAGCCACGCATAAAGCCGACTTTGATATCTTGGCTGGGTTTTAAGCAGACTACCAGAGCGCAGATTCTGAGCTGCTCACAATGCATTGGCATTAGCTATCTCTTTCTTGGCTTAAAGGCTAAACATCATGAATGATTACTCCAGTCACTTATGGGGTGTAAAAAGTGATGCATGCAGAGAATTTAAATCCATTAAGGCAAACAAACAACTCCTCTACACTGAGCATTTTTCATGCTAACCAGGCAAAATCTGCAGGGTTTTTAGTGTTTAGTGCTGATTTAGTTGGGAAAGATTTCAGATTTAAATATGATTTCATGTTTAACAAAGATATTCTAAGCTTAAATAGCAGCTGGCTACTCAAATTACTTCAATGCATTTGTTTTTAAAGTGTCACAGTGTAAACATTTTCAGGGAAGCTGACATGAAAATGGCTTTTTAAAATTGGCCTATGGATAATAAGTTGCACATAATTGCACATTTCACTTTTAACCAAAGGCTCCAAATATAGTTGATGATGTTTGGGAAGTGATCTTAAAACTTACTTGCTGGTCCTGTAGGTGTATTTGTAGGTGACCTCTCTGGAGACCTGGCGTGCCAGTCCAAAAAGCTCATCTCTGCGGGTCAGTAGTGCCACCTCCTTCATACAAAGCTGTGCCGCAGCTTCATTTACTGTCAACTACATAAAAACAATAGAGATTTGTATTATTAATTTGATAATTAACACTTTTATTTGCAAAGGATTAAACAATCCCACAATTAAGGAACACCCCTGCATGATACGGACCATCATGTTTGTACAGCGTATTAAACAAAGAAGCAAACCAGCACACCAAACACTGTAGTCCAGCTGTGCTGGATTTATTTTAACCAGAACACATTCTTACTGAAAGTATCAACCTTATTCTGCAATGTGGAAGTAAGCTGGATTCTGTAATTGTTATAGAATGAGGCCTGTCAAGATATGGATTTTTTTTGGTTGTATGATATATTGCACCAAAATATAATCCGATAAACGATATTATTGTCATTTTAAAACCATTTTATGCCACTCATAATATAACGCCAGAACAGTGTAAATTTTGACAGCAAATCTTTTGTCTTTTGACTAAAATTCCAATTTAGTTTTAGCCATATTTGAATCTTCTGAATCATTTTAGTTTAAGTCGACTAAATTTCATAAGTTGACTAAATCTTCTCTACTGTTATGATGATGTAATCTTTCAAGTTACTTTCAAATGTGTGTGTGTCTATGCATCACACACTATAATTATTCTCATTAGATATTTTCTAAAAAACATCCCCAATCACATTTTACTCTCATTATTATTAGGCTACAAAAATGTCAGCATATTTTTTTTTTATCACAGGTGTAGTCATCATCACTTAATTTTTATTTGGTTTTCATCAGAAGAAACTTGTTCTTCATAAAAATAATGATGAACAATTTTCATTGAAGAAATTAACACTGCACCAGAATGAAAATATAATATCATCACAATGCAAGTACACTCTTATAAAGAACACATCATATTTTATTCTTAAGAATATTTTATTTAATTATAATGTTTTAACTGTTACAGTTTACAGGGTTCATACACGTTTAGTACTAAAATTTCATGACTTTTCCATGATTTTTCTAAGACTTTCAAGTACATTTTCATGACCTGTTTCACGCAATGTCTACATATGTGTGATTAAAGAAAAACAATGCATGTTCAAATTTAGTACAGCATCCTGTAAAACATGCAACAACCTATTCAGTTTAAATTGATATTTATTTCTATGTAAAATGTATTTAGATAATGCTTACACAGCACTAACAATGTGAGAGTATGTGATTAGAAGGACAGAAAAGAAGCCAACTAACCTATATTAAAGTATACAGATATCGGTTTTCCATTACTTTTCCAAAACCTTGTGGGTTTTTCTGATTATCCAAAAGTTTTCCAGGCCTGTAAAATGCCATGTCAAAATTCCATGACTTTTCCAGGTTTTCCATGACCGTATAAATCCTGAATTTGACAATTCTAATAATTAGGCACTGGAATCAGAATGTGTAAATGCATATCCTAAATAAAGGTTAACAAAAAATTGCAAGGTAAAATAGTAACAGAGACTGCGATATCTGCTACCAGATCTATTTTCAGTTATCAGACACCCACATAAAAATATACTATAGTAATTTATAGTAAATGCCACAGTGTTTCTTTAGCCATACTGACACCTCCAATAGAAATAGAGATGTTGTGCAATCAGCTAAAATGTTACGAGAATTGGCTTTTATGTATAGGCGATACATATTGCATCACCAAAACGTATTGAAGTCTTGTCAATGTGTTTGTGCTATAAGTCAATATATTGATTATTTGACAGATCTAATTAGAACTTCCAATTCAGTTGCCTCTACAAAAAACTGTTGATGACTATACTGTACTAATGTATTATTATACAACACATCAGTTTGCAACTTAGTGCAGCATAGTGGGCTCTTTTTAATGTCTAAAAATCAAAGGAAGTGAATGACACTAAGTCTTAAGCCAATAAGGTTTCAATGCCTGCGTCAGCTCCTTCATGAAGAATAAGGTTAAAAGCCATGCTTTGATATTAATAATGTATTTAACTCCTCCCAAAAACAAGGAAAGTGCCCCATAAAACACACCTCATGCAGGGTCAAATGCTTCCCATCCTTTCTTTTTGAGTCGAATCTGCCATAAATAGCACTGTACTTGCGGATTTCTTCTTCCCTGTGCGGATCCTCTTCGCTCATATCAAAGATGTGGCTGATCATCTTGGCAAGCTTCTTATTTCCCTTCAACTGATCTTTGACCTCTGTGGGGTCACTCTTGGGCAAAGTCTGAGTGATTCTTTCTACGCACTCGGCCACGGACTGAACTGCAGCCGCATCGAGTGCCTCTAGGCCATCCCGTGGGGAAGACGGGGAGCCCAGTTCTGCAGGAGACAAGCTGTGCTCGCTTTCTGTGCCGTGATTGGCCCAAAAACGTGGCTCACTGCCACTCTGAAGAGGCGAAACGGTGGCCGAAGAATTACCGTTGCCTGGTTCTCCTTTTCCAGGATCCACGCAAGATGCTGCCAAACACTTGGGCACTTTGACTTGGGTGTCTCCACGGGCACCATTGCCAGGCAACAGAGTGGGTGACCCTTCGGGCAACTTGTAGACGGGAATACTGCAGACAGGCAGGGATGTAAGGGGCTGATTGAACAGGGCAGGGTTCGTGACCCAATCACGAAGAGCTTTCTGTAGGCGTCTAACATGCAGCGGCTTGCTGGCCATGCCCACGAGTGCCATGATCTCAAGAAACTCGTCCTCGCCAGCTTCGCAGAGCTGCTGAACATCATCACCACCCTGCTGGATGAAGGCATCATAGTAGCACAGCAGGTTGGCCCTCTGAAGAATCCGGTAGAGCTGCAACTCCCCAAGGGTTCTGGGTAAAGTCGCTGCCATACCTGAACAAAAGAAGAAACAAAGTAAGCAATTAGAGGAAACAAAGCAGAAGCGCTAGAAGGAGAGGACACTGGTTTGCCACAGCAGGGGGAGGAAGAGAAATGTGTGGCTGGATCCAAGAGTGGCGACTATAAGAGAGCGCCTGTCAGGCTCCTGGGCTGCTGGGAGAGTCACATACCACACTCCACCTCTGCAACACGCGTAGGTGGGCTCTCTCAGCACAGGCCTCATTTGTTTCTGCCGGGATCTAGCTTCTACAGCTGCCACTGTCAGGATCTGGATCCACAGCAGCTCTGATAAAAGCGCGACTGGCTGCAGGGGAGGGAGGTGGGGTAATGGAGTCGTGTGGGAGTGGGACAGTAGGTGTGCACGCTTAGAAGATAGCTTTCTGCATTTCACTTTAATTCACCCACTTCTTCCTTAAAAGGATCCAGGGATTATGAATGTATGACAAACATCCACACACACACACACACACACACACACACACACACACACACACACACACACACACACACACACACACACGCACATACACACACATAATGGTCTCTGCAAACTTTGTCAGAGTCTGTAATGCATACTAATGAGGTAACCGATCTCATTTTGTTGCAAGAGATACGTTTTAGAAAAATATGCAAATCATGGCAGCTGGAAAACTCTGAGATATCCGGACATTTAGAATTATAGTTTGTATCCCAAAATGTTTTATGGAATAGTGAATCAAATTATCAGAATTTGGTTATGCATTTATTACTATTAAATTGTGCTTTTATTTATATCATAAACGCACATATAAACGTATAATTTAATGTTTCCTGAGATCACCACACTAGCAGAACTCTTTTTGACCTTATTCTTCACGTACAAGTGGCCGCAGCTAGTTGAAACTTTTTGGCTCGAGACTTCTGGTCTCATTCACTTCCATTCATTTTTAGATGTTGAAAACAGCTCGCTCTGCTGCTTGATTTTGCAAACTGATATTTTTATTTGATATTATTCTACTTTTTATGAATAGTCATGAACACACTTGTTTGCAAGTAATTTGACCGTTTTCTGATGTTTAGTACTCCTAGACTTTTCTCCCATAGGCGACTGAATCGGAAGTTCTAAAACAATAGCAAAAACGAGCACATCTCCGCATTGAATAATAAGGTCAATAGGAATACTTCACCCCAAACATGAACATTTCCTCACATTTTAGGAATTTCTTTTTCTTCTGTTGAACCAAAACAAGATATTTTGAAAAAGTTGGAAAAAAACATCCATTCACATCTATAGTAGGAACAAAAAATACTATGGATGTTAATTACAGCTTTTTTTCCAACATTCGTCAGTATATCTTTCTTTGTGAAAAACAGAAACTGGTTTGGAACAAGAGAAGGACAGTTAAATGATGACGAATATTACATTTTGGGTAAACCATCCCATTATGAGAGCCTTAAAAAAACTGCTGAACTGCTAAGTTCCCATCTTCAAAGTTCCTAGTAGCAAGGTTGGTAATCTGAATAACCCCTGCTGGATAATTTTACTGAATCGGACCGGTGAGTCTCGTTCTTTAAAATAAAATAATCATTTTTTAAGATTCATTTTTTAAGAGTCATTTCGTTCAATTTGCCAAAATAACATTAAAATGCTACAAGATGCTTCCAAACACATCTACAACTAGCCTAAACGTTGATCACACTACAAACAAGTCGTAACTAGAATGCTACTATACAATGCAATGCTACTAAGAAAGAGAAAACAATCCTTTATTGTTTACCTGGTGTTTTATCTATGATAAGCTCTGCTCACCTCTTCTGGCAGGTCTTTAAAATTGAATAGCCGGTGTGTAGTTAGTGTAACGGAGGCCAGCTAGTAAGTGCTGTGCAGTTAAACCTCACTCCTCTGATCTCTATAGGTGCTCTGGCAACAGAAGCTAGAGGTCATGGTCTTTAGCCTCTTTGTGAGTGCACCTGACTTCCATGCAGAGGGTCGCCGGTTCGATCCCAGCTCTGGGCGACTTGGGTGGTGTAGGACCGGCGGGGTTACATTGGTGCCGTGAGCCAAATGGGAATGAGGTTTAGAGGGGTGAGTGTAACGGAGGCCAGCTAGTAAGTGCTATGCAGGTAAACCTCACCTCTCTGACCTCTATAGGCGCTCTAGCGACAGAAGCTAGAGGCCATGGTCTTTAGCCTCCTTGTTAGTTCAACCGACTCTCATGCGGAAGGTCGCCAGTTCGATACCAGCTCGGAGCAGGTTGGGTTGTGTAGAACCGGTGGGATTACATTAGCGCACTGGCACCTTTATCCTGTGGCTGCGGTCGCATCATCCAAGTGGATGCTGCACACTTGTGGTGGTGTGGAGAGACTTCCCCTCGTGATTGTGAAGCGCTTTGGGTATACAGTATGTCCATACACAACAAAATGCGCAATATAAATACACATTATATTAATGGTTCCTAAATGGTCCCTTAAGAAACTAGAGCATACGGGAAAGGATTTGAAACACGTCAGTGTATAATTTAAGTTCCTTGAGAACACTGAGGCGCATTAAAAAATGATGCCTAGAGGTTCTTCAGAGGGTTCCTCCAGTGTGGGAGTCTCTGAATCTCCAAACAGGCTCACAAGCCTTTTCAGTTTAAAATAATTTATGAACAAGAATTAGGTTACTTTCTAAATAAACTTGCACAGACATACACATCAGCATTTGCATTTTCTCAACCTGCCATGAAGCAATGTGGGCAGTATAGAGAAATAAAATCTTCAGACAGACATAGCCATACCTATAATAATAAATGTAGATGCCTAAAAGTTGCACTTGCACTGTGTGTGACACTCGTGAACTTTATGTTGAGCATTTAATACAATGTAATGATGTAAAAATACAATAAAACCACTTGGTAATGGTAACAATGATGATGTCAATCCCTGTCCCAATTATCATTCTTTCAAGGGCTGTAAAAGATGACAGATGCTGCTAAATCATCATGACTGAGTAAGAACAGCAACACAGCAAGGCTGATAGCGAGTACTGATGAGTGAGTGTATACTATGAAGTTTAATGAGGACACCCCACTGAACAGTAGAGTGATACGCCACTCTAATGGATGACTGAGGCCTAGACCCAAGTGAAGGGTGCCTTGTTGAAACCAATTCACCATCAGCATGGATAGCACTTAGGCAGCAATTTATCCAAAGCTCTCTCTCCCCGCAGCATACTGGGTTCCTAATGCTGGAGATCTAAGGCCAGGGCTTCACGCAGCCTGCTGAGAGCACTCACAGCTCATACTCATGTTGCCCAACAGCGGCCTCTTATCAATCTAAATGAATAATGGATTCACATTGAGACCTGTCCTGAATAGTACGATGAAGCTATCGGAAAGGAGCTTCTCTTGAAAGGCAGTCCTGTGTATCAGATTAAATGTTTGTGGAACAGCTGCTCTCCATATGAAAGCCATACAGACTGTTTTTGTGAAAGGAACATAAGGCAAATAACACAACTGATTCACTTCTTAAGTGAAGGACTAGACAAGCACAGGAAGCCTTTGTGTGTACAAAAGAAACTGGGTCTCTCTTAAAGGGGTAGTTCACCCAAAACTGAACTTTGCAATCATTTACTTCACTTGTTCCAAATCTGTTGATTTTCTTCTGTTAAACGAAAATAATATTTTGAAAAAAGTCGGAAACCTGTAACCATTGACATGCATGGTATTTGATTTTCCAATAATTGGAGTCATAATAACAGGCATTCTTCACAATATCTTCTTTAGTGTTTAACAGAGGAATGAAGCTCATAAAGGTTTGGAATCACTTAAGGAAGAGTAAATAGTATTAAATAGTGAGTAAATATACATTTTTGGGTGAACTATCCCCTTAAAAGGGATGATATGCCTAGAAAAATCAGAGAAAATCATCATTTATTAAAACTCATTCAAAATTCTGTCTTCTTTTCATTCATACAACACAAAAACAGATGTTTCCAAGAATGTTCATGCTGCTTTCCTACATACAACATAACAATTTTTAAAAAGAGCTATCAAACACCAGATGACAATGAAAATAGAGAAATTTTGGTTTGTTCCTCACATAAAGCTATTTATAAGACATCAAATAACCTGTAATAGCATATTCCTATATATCATAGGCATGAGATGATGACCGGTTTTAAGGTTTACCGCGGATTTGAAAAGTCAAGGTTTTAAAACCAAAGTTTTCAGGTATACCGTTCCTAAGGTATATGCAAGTTTTGTTTAGTTTTTTACTGTTTTTTTTTTATTTTATTTAGTCTTTTGAGGTAACAGTATCTCCAGCAGAAAATGAACCACTTCATCATAAGCTACTGGTCCAAAACATTTTAAACGTGTCTTAAAATAAAATATACGGTGTATGAGGGAAAAAATTTTTTTTTTTACCCATACATTTAAAATAAACTTATATTGGAGGAGTAATCACAATACTGTGATACTGTGAAACCGTGATATTTTTATCTAGAGTTATCATATTGTCACAATCTTATATCGGCCCATGCCTAATTTTACAGTGCTTTAAAGAGCCCATATTATACATGAAATAGGGTCATATCTTGGTTGTAAGGGTCTCCAACAACAGTCTAATATGCATGCAAGGTCAAAAAACACTTTCATGGTCTTATAATCTGCATTTATTTTTACCTAATTATCCCAGCGACTCCTGTATGAATCGTCCAGTGATTCATTTGTTCCCAAACCCCTCCTTAGCGCGGAGCTAATCTGCGCTGATTGGACCGATGACAGTCTGTCGCGATTGGTCGACTGCCTTCAGTCAGAGAGGGAAATGGCCAATAGCTAATCAGCAATTTAAAAAGTAATCACAGTTCATACACGCTCGATAGTGTAGGCGTGAATTTTAGCTGCCACACTATGGCGAGTGGATAGTGCCACGGATAACCGAACGAAGGAGACAGTCGTGTACTCGCCATACCACACACACACAAAAACACACACACACCTCCGGATGACAACGCTCCCGCTTCCGCCCGCACCCGCCAGGTTTTAGCCTGAGAACCCGCTCCGTTTTCTGCCCGCCGCGCCCGGTCCCGCTAGAGCGGAGAACACAACCAAAAATCACCCAGTATACAGTCCAGACAGCCAAGCTGTCTGTATAGACACATACACACAGCACAAAGCACACAGAGCTCGTTCGTTCGTTCGTTCGCTCCCTCTCGCTCTCTCTCATACGCTCTCTCATACCAAGCAGACTCTCTCTTTCTAATTCGCATAGCAATATCCGTGATATTGCTAGACAGCCCGCTCCCGTCCCAAATTAAACCCGTTACCGACCGCTCCCGCGATTTATTCGGAAATTTATTCCCGCGGCTGTCCCCGCGCCAGATTTCTGCGGCGCGGGAATAAATTTCCGAATAAATCGCGGGAGCAGAACTCTAGCACGGAGCTCCAATAACAAAGCAGCACGCGTCGCGTTTTTAACGTGACTTTGCACGCGATAAGATCATATATCCAGTTAACCTGATACAGTACACGCGGTTACAAGTAACAAATCACAACTAAATACATTTGCAAGCTAGAGTAAACGAGGCAACAACTTTAACCGCACGTACTTACACTTGAGAAATGGAAGAAACCCATCCTGACGTCCATCAGTTACTCTTTACTGATCCTTCCTTTAACAAACTCAGATGAAGTATTCTTTGTAGCATGTAGCTTCCAGAAGTTTCCAACTGCTTGGTTATAATGCTGAGGTTTCATCTTTGGGTAGAGACTCAATATATCCATCTGCAGTGTGACTTCAATCAACCGGCATGTTTGTGTGCGTGTGTTTGTGGGTGTGCGTGTGTTTGTGGGTGTGTGTGTGTGTGTCTGGGTTCCTGCGTCAGAGGGTGGGGCCTCAGGTTTGAAATCTCCCGGGTTTGCGCGTGCACGTGAATAACTTGGTTTCGTTCGTACGTCATGGCGAAACACCTAATGAGTCGGTATCAAGGCGACTCGTTCGAAGCACTATGAGTCGACTCTTTTATAGATGAATCAACAGTTTTAAACACTGTATTCTTACAGATTTAAGCCTTAGCTGGATACTTCACTTCACTTAGAGCTGTGTTACACACTACATGGAGTGGAATTTTCAAAAACCCATAATATGGGCTCTTTAAGAAAAAGGGTTCACTTCTCAGTTCATATTTAATGGAACGTAGAATATCATGTTTATAGGAATACAAATAGGTTGAACATTCCTTTAATAATATGTGCTGCCTAAATATAATATGATGTAAAATATTGTAGCTTCTCACAAATTCGTCAATAGCTTCCTATCATTAAGAGGACTGTAGACTCAAGCTTAGCTTAAATGACGCTCGTTACCATTCAAAGCCTTTCAAAAGAGGGATGCAAACACACATTCATTTAAATGGCAGAGCCTTTAACCATAATATGATTCATTCAAGGGTCTTTTGATGATAACGGGGGAAATGTAGGTGAGGAAAGTAGAAAAGGAAAACAGGCATGACAAAAGTTCACCACTGTGTAGCTAATAAAGCATTAGTAAGATCTGAGCTGGTATACATCGGGGGCCCAGTGTGTACAATGTGGTGGTAAACAATGAGTCATGAACTCACAAGACTGAAAACAATTCAAAACAAAAATTCCTATTAGCTCATTTGAATCTTTACTCAAATAATAAACCAAATGAGACTCATCACCAACTATTACTAATATTTATGGGAATCATCGTGACAGAAATGGCATTACATTATTGTTATGGGCAAAAGTGTCAGTGATACTTTTATTATAGGCCCTTACTGCTTTGTATAATTGAAGCAAGACTATGGCAGCCTATGGAGTGAAGTTAAATGAATTGTTAAATTAAAACTAAAAATAATCTAATATATTTTTTTACTTTTGCTTATAGATTAGCCACTTAATATGCCATTCAATTAGAATTAAACGGGAAAATTAAACATTTAACATTATGAAAAAAGCAAACAAGCATTAATGATATTGTCCTTTATAATAATCATTAATGATATTGTCTGATAAGTCCTTTTAAACAGAGAAGTTTGCAAAATAAAGTAAACAAACAGAAAGTGTTTGTAATGTTTTTGCCAATCCTATCAAGGTGAATTTCATGCAAAAAATAAAAATCACACTTTTCAGAATATCATGAAAATATTTTATTTTCCCGATAAGACTAAACCCTTCAATTGAAAAAAATTAGACAAAAATTTCACTTTCCAGACCACATCTGAAATCTATTCCATTTAATCGAATCCCATTTATCAAAACAAGTTTGGTCTACAGATAATAGCTACAGATAATAGGTTTATTGACAAAATCCAATAAATTATGCGAAAGCGCAACTATAATTTTAACATTTATGCTGTTTTTTTTTTAGCTATTTTATTAAAGTTATTAAAGCTTTTTTCAATGTATTCAAATTTAATAATAATAACTATGGAGGTCAATAACATTAAGCATCCTTCAAAATATCTTCTTTAGTGTTCAATGGAAGAAATGAACTCACACTGGTTTGGAACCACTTGAGGGAGAGTAAATAATAGTGAATAGTGGGTAAATATTTATTTTTCAATAACAAATGATGTCTTCTAAGGGGATAGTTCACCCAAAAATGAATATTTACACACTATTTACTCTCCCTCAAATGGTCCCAAACCGGTATGAGCTCATTTCTTCTATTGAACACTAAAGAAGATATTTTGAAGAACGCCTGTAATCATTGACTTCCATAGTTATTGTTAATGAATTTGAATACATTTTGCATTGTTATTGAATTTTACATTTTTTCAATTGAATCATGAACACAAACATTTATTGATGTATAAATGTAACTGATATAAACGTTTATTTCTGTAATGTCTGCATGCACTCATACTTATATTATCACTTATACAAAAAATAACTTAATACAAATATAAATATAAGCACACATATTGCAATAATATTAAAACGGTGAACACAAATTATAATGGTTGTTTTTAATTGTGTATCTTAAAAGCTGTGAATTTATCTTAGTAGCACCTGAAAATCCTTGGAAACAGTGTGGCTGCCTATGGAATTCACACATTTAAAGGGCTTCTACAATAACAGCAGACTGGAAAGCATTTGGGAAAACTACGCTTGGAAGTGGAGAAACGCTACGGATGCTGGAGACACACAGCTGCCGACTACCAGACGCCCACGGGGGCGCGTTCACACACGGTACCGAGACCTGCCCGGTCTGCACGGCGCGCACATGGACCACAAAACACGCAGGAAAGTTGCACACAGTACACAAATCCGGCGCAAAACTGCATTTGCAAGCTAACACTGAAAACAAGTACAAACATAAACATACCTCAGGGTTTTCTTTCTTTGTCTTTTCCCACCAAAACTCTCCAAAATGAGGCGTCTGCTTGTAAGCTTAATAAAGTTGTGACGGTCCGCTAAATTACGCGACGCTCCACCTGACGTCCGGTTACGTGCCGCGCGTTCGGCGGGTCAGCGACGCGTCTTTCGGCTCTGTGTTATTGAATTAACTCTCACACACTCTGTAGTTTGAACTACGGAGGGACTCTCAAACTAGTTGGTTTCCGCTCTCTCCCCTACTGCCAGAATTGGGATATTCCGCGCTTGCTACATTGCTCTCTCACTCCCACGCGCCTGCGTGACGCAGATCCTGGCGTGGGCGGTAGCGGCGCGTGGGAGGCCGCTGCATGGAATACCAAACCTCATATCAGCCGCATGCACCGCCTCACACACACACACACACACACACACACACATACATGGACATTTATCATGTTTGTTGACCTTACTGAAAATACGCCAGCATACAGCATAACGGTTCGGTGGCCGCCTGTACGCCCACACTGGTGCTATTCTTGCCCCCTCCTCCTCCGGTGCAAATTCACCTGCTGCCTACAGCCTGTCACACACCGAGTCCTCGTGCATTCCGGTGGGCCCGGTTTCACATCTTATTAGTTCTTCTACCTGTGCCATTTATAGAGTTATGTGCGCTGATGGCCAAACAACGAGATCTGCTGCAGGCAGAACAACATACTGTAATTGCTTTCTGCTTTTAAAAATACACGTTCTGCTAATTAGCTTGCTTCTGCAACGCTGGGTCTTCGGGTTTTAATTGAAGGAAAATACAAAACTAGGAAAAATAGCACCACATTACATACGACCTAAGTTTCATTTCCAAAAGAACAAAATTGCACAGTTATAATATATATATATATATATATATATATATATATATATATATATATATATATATATATATATATATATATATATATAAAATAATTTTTTTAACTTTTTATTGGCAAGTTTAAGTTTGAAACTTTGTTTTTTGTCACAGTAATTAGTAATATAAACTAATATCATATATATATTTATGCATAGGCTGCATGGGTCAAAGACAAGACCCATGTTTTTGTGTCCACATGAAATAAAATGTACAGAGGTGGTTTTATATAGAATGCATTAAATGCAAGCTTCTATTTAATGTTTCACATAACTTTTGTGAAAATAAATAATCAAAATATGAGCGAAATAATGTTCTATCATCATTTAGCCTAACAGAAATCTTTAATGTCAGGGCAATTTTAAATAAAGAGACTCTTACTGATCAAGAAACAAAGTCTTACAAAGTTTACCTCCAAAAAGATTTTATTCTCAAAGTCATACAGAAACACTGGTTGCTGCAGAGTGCGACACACAGGATAGCCCAGGTTTTATCTTCCTTTCCCTGCTTCAGTGTCCACTTCGTCACAGTTGACATGCAGTTCTCTTTAAAGAATTAAATTTTAGAGCCAGAATTTACACTAATTAAATGCATATATGTTCACTGTAAAAATTATATGATCAATTAGTCATGACAACATGTTTTTTGTTCATTGTAACTTATTACACTTAACCCTGTTCTAACTTATTTTTTAAGTTATGCAGGCTATTTTAAGTCAGTTTAACAGAATATAAGTTCAATTGGCTTATAAGGTTAATTTAATTGAGATTAAAACTTCAGATGACCATCTTCTGAATGACCCTTCTTGTAATATTTCTAAAAATACGTGGCTAAAACCCCAATGGAAGGACTGAGGCAAAATTTAATGATTTAAAATGACAATTATTTAAGAGACTCTAGTAGGATGTCATCAATAGATTTATATATATATATATATATATATATATATATATATATATATATATATATATATATATATATATATATATATATATATATATATATATATATATATATATATATATATATATATGTATATATATATATATATATATAGTTACACTAAAGAAAATTTTGGGGGTTTTCTTTTGTAAATGATGGTAATATTCTGGAAAACGAATTGCAATTCAGGGTTCAGTTAGAGAGAAGAAGATAAGTTGCAGTTCAGCATGCAAATATTATGATGACGTTCCTTACAGTCATATTCTGAATGGTTTATTAGTCAGATTTCCAGTTTATAATCTTAATCTTATGATCCTCCCTTCGGCTTAGTCCCTTTATTCATTAGGGGTCTCTACAGTGGAATGAACCGCCAACTTTTCCAGCATATGTTTCACACAGCGGATATCCTTTCAGCTGTAACATAGTACTGGGAAACATTCATACACATGCATTCACACACATGCACTACGGCCAATTTAGTTTATTCAATTCATAATATCAAGAGCGTTGTGTTAAGAACAAATCCTAAGAGTAATGTTTACGCAATATCAATACAGTCAGTATTGCTTTTGAACATGCACAGATGTGTGTCCCGTCTTAGAGTGTGGTCCTTGTGTAGTGAATACCCAAATGGAGACTATACCCTTGTAAGGGGCTTGTGACTGAGAGACTTTCATTGTTGCAGTGACTCAACTAAAACAAACCTCTCCCCTTCGCACTGCTTTCTAACTGCTCCTCAGCGTCACAAGCGGAGATTCATTGAGAGATGTGCTCTCAGACACGGTTTGGGGGTCTTTCTGCAGCAGGAAGAGGCTTGAAAAGGGAGACGCTGGGAGGGGCTGTGGTCCTGTATGCAGCCACTACTCACTCCTCTTTCAGGATATTTACACTCCCACACACAGTGATTCAGCTGCCTCTAATCCTCTCTCTCTCTCTCTCTCTCTCTCTCTCTCTCTCTCTCTCTCTCTTTCTCTCTCTTTCTTTTTCTCTCTCTCGCAGCCCCCCTCCCCCCCCCCCACACACACAGGGTTGTTTTTGTGGGGACATTCCATAGGTTTCCATTGTTTTTAAGCTTTTTGAGATATGAAGATGTCTGCAATGCCCTTAAAATTCACCATCTCCTTGTAATACCTCTTTCATGCTAATTACACATATTTGTGTTCTAATATGTCACAAAACACACACAAATGCCCGCACACACATTTGTATTTGTCAATTGTGGGGACATTCTATAGTTTCCCATTGTTTTTAAGCTTTTTGAAATATGGGGACATCAGCAATGTCCTCATAATTCACCATCTTCTTGTAATTCCTCTGTCATGCCTATGTAATTACACATATTTGTGTCCCGATATGTCCCAAAACACTCTCATACAATATTGTGTATTATGGGGACATTCCATAGATTTCCATTGTTTATATACTGTACAAACTGTATTTTCTATTGCCCTACCCTGACCCTACACCTAACCCTAGTCCTTATAGAAAAGTGTGTGCAGATTTTCCTTCTGAAAAATGTCATTCTGTACGATTTATACCCTTTTTGAAAAATGGGGACTTAAACAATGTTCTCATTTTCACCATTTCCTTGTAATACCTGTGTCATATCTATTGCATATATTTGTGTCCTTATATATGTCATAACACACACACACACACACACACACTCACACACAAAGAGCCGCTGCATGGATTAGACTGCATCAGACACTCATAAACAGCTGAGTTTCTCTTTCTGCATAAAGAAAGGTGCTTTGGATAAACCATGGAAGAAAGTTGGCTAACAAAACAATTTGTGACTTTTTATATATATATTTTTTTTAATTTGGTCATACGTAGGCAGTTGACATGACTTGCAGTTCTTCTATCCTCAAAGCACAAGGTCACTCATTTGTTTTTTCATATATTAATCTTTTGTATTGACACACTTTGTTCTTTAATCTTCTTCTATGTCAAATATTGTTTTGGTAAAGCTTTTACAATATGGTTGTAATAGTTAATGTATTGACTAACATGAACTAACAATGAACAAAACATGCATTCCAGTATTTTATTAAAATAAAGTTGTTCATTGTTAATCCTTGTTAACTCAGAATCAGAGTGCATGCTAACAAGCATGAATTTGGATTTTATTCAACCCAGGCTCAATATGGATATGTACCCTTGCAAACATTTCTGGACAGCACACAATACATCCCAGGAGATATGTTTTTTGCAGTTTTTGTTTTCGCAAATCCACGAGAGGCCGCTGTGTACTCTTTTTCAGATCTCAAATTTCTTTTGTGAGTGCCATTCACGCCTGCTCTTCTTGCATAATTCCACCAGAGGCTACTGTTGACTGACTGACCGACCGACCGATAACCCCACCCATCCCCTTCTTTAAATCCAACCGATAGTGTTTTCAAAAGCAATCCAGAAAAAGAAAAGCCCTTGCGGCTGCATGATTTTTACCACATTTTCAGATCTTACCAAGTTCTCATCCTGTTTTTTACTTGTTTATTTAATTTAATGTCTTTTGTTTTTGTTTTACCTGCTATCTTTACCTGCTATCTATTCATTCACTCATCAGCCAGGATCAAAGTTGTATGGTTCACCTCATCGTCTCTCCTTCTTCCACTCATCTTCTCCAATAGATGTCTCCAATTCGCCTATGGACATATAACAACTGAATAAAGGAAGTAACTTAAGCTATTCTGCTGTTTACCTAAAGATCTGATGTTTACCTGATGAACTGTGTGTGAGATTGCTCACCCTGTGATGTTTCCCAGAACGAAAAGCGTGTGAGATCGCTCACCTTCAGATGTGTACCTTGTGAACTGTTAATGAGATTGCTACTATCCACAACACCACTCTCCTGTTTCATCACTCTGATTCAGTTACGTTGTTTTGAATAAAACCTGTAAAAAAAAAAAAAAAAAACATCCTTGTCCTCTTTGTTTGTGACCGTAACAACTGCCCAGTGTTCACTTTAAAGACGAAATGCAGCCATATGTAGCTCTGGCTACATAATTTCCGCTCTCCATAAATGTATAAAGGTGTACGTTTTCACAGTTGATTTTATTAATACATTAGTAAATGTTGAACTATGATTAATGAATGAAGTACAGGTATTGTACATTATAAGTTTATGTTAGTAAATACATTAACAAACCCTAACAATAATAATCCAATATTAGAACCTTATTTTAAAGTGTTTTCAATTTTCTATTAAATTGTAAACCCAAAAACATGTGTTTGTCCATATCTGACCAAATATTTAGCTGAAACAAGCAAAATTTGTTTTAAGTTAAATTATCCTCAATATCAACTGTGAAATATTAAATGTGATCAATATGATATTCAAAGTTATTTTAGAGTTGTTTGGAATGACTCATATCTCTTGATAAAAAGCTGCTATTCAGGACCCCAACAGGAAGTCAATGTGACTCAGAATAGCTTGCTTCTCTTATTTCTGGCACATGAACATATTGCAAAAAATAAAGAGTTGGC